CAGCTCTGCTAATGTACTGGAAGTTGAACCCGGAGAGGAAGAAGTCAGTGGCTGTTTCTGAGATGCTGGAGAATGTTGAACACGTCCACACAGAGCCGGGTACGCGAGGGGACATATTGTAATTTAACACATATTGCACAGTTTTATGTTGCTTATTAAATCAAATATATAGTAGTAGAAGTACTTTACTCAACATGCTGAGAATTATTTTAAAGAGGCAAAAAAATACAGACTATTTTCTCTATTTACAGGCAAACCAGTCTCCCCAGGTCCACTAAACAGCTCTGCCAAGAAACAAAGGAGAGTCCTGGAGACGATGGTCACCAGAGAGGGTATGTGTGGTTTGAAACATTGCGCCTACTCATCCTATTAAGAAATTACTTTCTGACTTGTAAGTTGACGTCCAACACGTCTCTTCTGTGTGTCTTTGTAGCCACCTCCCATGTGGGCCTTGACGACTTTGTTGAGATGACTAAGAAGTATGCTCAGGGTATTGAACCTTCACCAGTCATGGCTGCAGCAGCAGGTGATGATGATGATGACGATGATGACGTAGTAGTGAAGAATCCTGATGAATTGCCCTTACACCAAAAGGTAGAGAGCTCTTTTCTTTTTAAGAATGTCATTAGTCTCTCTCCTCTTTTGTTTAAAGGGTTTGGGTTTGTTTATAGTCCCCCTCAACTAAAACATTTGATTTTCACTTCACTCGTTTTGATGTTTGACCCTGACTGGGCTGAATGATGTATGTGCATACTGGAAATCTACAGAAAATCTACTGTTACCTTAAATCTGAGTTAAAGACATGTACCTACATCCCAACTAGTTCAGAAGTCAGTCATGGTCAATATGCAACGTACACAAGTGTGGTGTGAATATACAATGAGAATTGACATTGCCATGCTCCTCCCCTGTGCTCACACCCCCCAGCTGCTGAAGTTCCCTCTGTACGCTTTGCTGGAGATCAAGGAGCACCTCATCGACTGGGCTTCACGGGCTGGCATGCAGTGGCTCAGCACCCTGATCCCAACTCACCACGTCAACGCACTTATCTTCTTCTTCATCATCTCCAACCTCACAATCGAGTTCTTCATCTTCCTCATCCCTTTGTTGGTTTTCTACCTCTCTTTCTTCTCCATGGTCATCTGCACACTGCGGGTGTTTCAGGTTAGTCGTTAGTATGTGTATTAGAGTATAGATGCACTTATCTAAGGAGGTACAAGTAAACAGATACTACATAAGCATCTTTTACCACAGAATTCAAAAGCATGGGAAAATTTCCGGGCACTGACAGACCTGCTGACTCACTTTGAACCCGGTCTTGATCTGGAGCAGGCTGAGACCAACTTTGGATGGACACACTTGGAGCCTTATCTGTAAGTACATCTCTGTTTACATGAACCCATGTGGAAACACATTGATTCCTTTGCCGATGCCTTTAGTTGTTTACTCTGTTACGTTGGCAAATGTAAAGTTTGGTTTTGTTCAGGTTTTACAAGTTTGACATTTGTTTTTGATATTGTCCTGTAGATACAATCAGGCTGTGTTTGTTTAGTTAAGGCTGACTTATTTCATAGTTTTAATCTTACTGTAATTAAGGAGCAACCAGTAATTTTTTTTATATATAACGTTAACAATAATAAAACAAATTGAACAAATAAAGACGTAGAAAGGGTATAATTCTCAAAATAAACAGAAAATTCTAGAAAGTGAATGCAATCAAGATGATAAATACACATGTTATGGATGTAAAAATGCTTCAGCAGTATAGGGAATACATCCTGTCTCATTGTGTTTTCAGGTACTTCCTGCTCTCTGTTGTCTTTGTGGTTTTCTCCTTCCCTGTTGCTGATAAATCCTGGATTCCCTGCTCAGAATTGGCCGCTGTCGCTCTCTTCTTCACTGTCACCGCCTTCCTCAGCCTTCATGCCTCTGCTCAGCTCTTTGCCCGCAAAGCCCTCCTTACAGAGGTCCTCTCCGGAGCGTGCTCCCTCACTCAACTCCTGCCAGACTCATTCTGGTTCCTCAAGGTCTTTGGGGTGACGTTCATCACTGTGCCTCTAGGGGACATGGTGGAGTTTAACCTGGGGATGCCATGTCTTTTATACGGACAACTTTTCTATCTCCTCTTCCGCATGGCCCAGCTAAGAGGCTTCAAGGGCACCTACCTGTGCCTGGTGCCCTACCTGGTTTGCTTCACCTGGTGCGAGCTCACCTTGGTGCTCCTCAATAACGCCACTGCAATAGGACTCATCCGCACCTGCGTTGGCTACTTCCTCTTCCTGTTTGCCCTTCCTATACTCTCACTGGGCCTGGCCGCAATGCTCATCATCCAGTTACTGCAGTGGTTTCTCGCCCTGGAGCTGACCAAAATGGTGGTCACGCTGACAATTTGCTTTGTGCCGGTAGTGTTGAGGCTTTGGACCCGATTCAGCCTCAACCCCATCGTGGTTTTTCGCTCTTTGTCACGGAGCAGCATCGTGAAGCTCATCCTGGTGTGGATCAGTGCGGTGGTGCTCTTCTGCTGGATGTACGTCTACAGGTCTGAGGGCATGAAGGTTTATAACTCCACCCTGACGTGGCCTGAGTACAGCAACCTCTGCGGCCCTCTGGCTTGGAAAGAGTCCAACATGGCTCAAACTCAGATTCTCTGCTCTCATCTGGAAGGACATCGCGTCACCTGGACTGGACGCTTCAAATATGTGCGTGTGACGGACATTGAGAATGGGCCACATTCGGTTATCAACCTGCTGCCAGTATTTATGGGGAACTGGATGAGGTGCCTGTATGGTGAGCCGTATCCTTTGTGTGAGGACGTGAAAAACACCACGACCGAGCCCCAGCCTCTGCCTGCCCCAGCTCCTCCGCCGGAAGATCCCCTCTGTAAGCTTAAAAAACTGGCCAAGCACGAGTGCCACATCAAACGCTTTGATCGATACAAATTCGAAGTCACAATGGGCATGCCACTGGAGAGGAAGACCAAGAACGGGACGATCATAGAGGACGAGGATGCCACCAAGGACATAGTTCTGCGGGCTAGTAATGAGTTCAAGTCTGTTCTTTTACACTTAAACACAGGAAGCCTGGTGGAGTTTAGCACCATACTGGAGGGCCGTTTAGGCTCCAAATGGCCCGTGTTTGAACTGAAAGCCATTCACTGCATGTCGTGCGCCAATGCCCAGGTGCCAAGCCGCAGGCAGTACAAGATTGAGCACGACTGGAGGCGCACGGCTCAGGCGGCCCTGCAGTTTGGTTTTGACTTCTTCTTCAACCCCTTCCTGACCGCTCGGCTAGAGCAACACTCAGAGACTGAAACAGAGACTGTGACACAGGAGGTCGAGTAGAGGGAGGGAGATCTAGCAAACACACCTCTGATGTGTGGTTATGGTAATAATATCTTCAGTTGGAGGACTACAATGATTGTACAACACTGTTCTCGTGAAAATCTTGTTGCAATATTGGAGATTATTTAGTGCTGTAAGACGGTGGAAAGGTACTCAGACATAAGTGGTATCAGTGCTGTTGTAAATCTGAACTTGATAGTGTGTGTCTGCTTTCTTAGAGCTTATTAGCCAAAATGTGTGACAATAAGTAATGCAATGGTTAAATTTACAAAAGGGGAGAACATTTTTTAGAATAAGTAATTCACTGCCTAACACTAAAGTAAAAAAAACAGCTCGTCCGTTGTGCATTTCATCCAATTTAAGCTACACTTGTGCTCGTCACGGCGAGTCTGTCAGTGAAGTCATTTTTTATTTTGTTTGTTCATGAAACAAACACTATGAGTGCTAAATACATTTCTGTGTATGTTTATCAAATATTTGTGGCCAAAATCATCAGTATTTACATTTTACAGTTTCTTTGTTGAACTGTTGAACCCTATTTTGTCTATGGGCAACAAATTATAGAAGCAAAGGTTGTAATGCTGATGATATCTTTGTAAAGGTTGCATTTGATGTCAAGCTTTAATCCTTTAACATTATACAGTAACGTGTACATATACAGTATATATACTGTACAGTACAGTATGTATAATATATAATGATGACATTGATGGTATTGGAAATGTCAAGTGCCTTACGACTAATTTCAATAGAGAATAAACTAAATCATGTCTTTAATCTTTAACCTTTAAATAGCTCACCTGCATATTTATTACAGAGCAGTTTTTTATCTCTGCCTTCTCTCTTCTCATGTGTCTTTCTTTTTCTCCTCTAGCTGTTCCCTCGTTTGTCTCCATCTCTGCTGTGCAGAGATTTAATATATTGAGTATTTGCAGTCCCAGAGGTGATGATGTGTTTTACGTTAGGATGTCACTACTGTTTCTATACTGTGACCATAAATATAATGAAAACATTTACTTGTTGCTGTATTTATTTAACATTAATTGCATGAAAGGCAATATTTTAAGGGTTGAAGCGTGCTCTTAGTCCTGCCTTTATAAGCAATTAGGGCTGCATGATATAGTTAAAACATCATATTGTGATTATTTTGACAGATATTGAGATTGCAATATGATTTGCAATTAGTGTGGCAATTATAATTTTATGTGTTTGTATGAACCTACAGAGAAACGTCTACCTAATCTGCAGCTCCTCTTAGCTTTACTGAGCATTGTAGTGACTCATTTAGCACTTTCCTGTTCTGGTTCACTCTCACTTCTCTCATAGTGTTTTCACTCCGCAGCAGGCAACAACAAAAAATCCATTGTACACTACCTGCTCAGTACCAGAAGAAGACAGCATTAAGCAGCTAAATATTTCCCTCAGGACTTGTTAGAGACAGAACACACAGCTAAAAGACAGCAAATATTGGACTTCCATTCATCAAGTGCCCAGAAATACAGCTCTAAATGAACTGATAACAAGTTTGCCGACTGATGATCAACTTAAGAGCTGATGTGTCGATGTGTTTCGACTGGACAAACAAAATCCACTACTTCAGGTTTAATGTAATTGGCCCCACATGTGCTTTGGGAACAACATGAGTGCTCTCAGACATGATTCAGGTTAGAAAGATTTATTCAGAAAGCAATATTGCCTGTAAAGTACAAGATGGACAGACTTTAAACAGAGAAGAAAAGAAAAAATAATCAAACACATTAGTGAAACCCAAAACATGAAAAATAAACCCTTTCTAGTTCACTGTTGAAATAGCAGGAGAGATATGTTTTTTGTGAGTAGAAAGTCGGGCAAAGTTTCACATTATTTGCACAACAGGCTGAGAAACAGTCAAAAAAAGAAACACACAGATCATGTAGTAATGTTATAGCAATAAAACCCCACTCTTACTGTTAGATTCTCCTGTAATATCACTAGTTGCAAACAGATGATGTGTAATTTCTTAAGGCTTCCAGAGGGGGTGATGACAGAAAAGGTTAAGGAGGAAATAATTTTGTTTCCAGATGTAATAAGTGGGTTAGGACAGAAGGTGGTGCCTCAGACACACGAGTAGTATCACAGACTGTAATGATGACCCCCCCTTATATGCCCATATAAACTGAAAGCTATAAAGCGTACACATTTCCATAATGGCACTGGCAATTATTATCAGTCTTACATAATTAATTACATTGCAATAAAAATCACAGATGTACGCTCATTGGATGCAATTTCGTTGAAATCTTTATTCAGAAAAAACATATTAACATTATTTATAACTGTCCATTTGACAATTTTGTTATCAACATACATTAACACAAAAATATGTGAATCAACATTAGTTTGGTCGGGACGTGGAGTAAAATTGACAGGAAAAAGAAAGGATAAATAACATAAATTGTTCTCTAAAAATAAAAGCTTCTGCACATCCGCAAAGTAATCAGTGAGGAAGGCTGAAGAGATTAAAGGACCATCTCTCTGCTGCAGCTTTGGAGGCAATCATCGATACAGATGATCGAGTCCGAAGTCCATTTATGGATGTAAAAAAAAAAAAAACATGTCAAAAGTTGATATATACAGACACCATTTAGGCCCTTTAGGTTTTTTTTTCTTTTTTCTTTGAGAGAACAACATTAATGAAAACATTCCCCATTCTTCTTGGTTCTCAGTTTCAGTCGAGAGAAAAACTGATTCTTGGACGGCTTCATTCAAAATGTACATGTAAGTGTATGAACCGAACACTGGTAAACATGCTTCAGTGCCCGAAGACACAAATAAAGGTAGGAGAGCTCGGTCATCTATCGTTACTCGTGCTGCATGGGGCCCCCGGGGCCCCTGAAGCCTTTGTACAGCTGGGTCTAAATGGTTAAGAAGGCAGCCAAGTCAGTCAGTCAGTCAATTTATAAACACCTAGGCTAAATTGGTTTTACATGCAGCATCTTTTTGCTTGATTGTTGAAATTATTTACTTCATTTTTTGTTTTTTTGTTTTTTTTGCTTGATTCGAGTTGTATTTAACGGCAAAGTAGCACACGACGCAACCCCAGACCAGAAGCAGAATCCACAATCTGAGACGTTTAAGGGCCTATTTCAGCAGAGAAAACATTAATGACTGAAACACAGTGCGTGGAACAGATATATGAGTGTGTGTCCTCATATTAGGCCACGGGGTAATAACCTATTAACTTCTGCTTCTATCTGCAGCACTGTAAATGTTTTACCTCACTGAAGTTGAGCTCAGAGGCGTCTGGGTGCACTTAGGTTAAGGGGGAGGGTCCCGAGTTCATCCTTGCACATTACACAGTATCATTTTAAATTCTCATTGTCATCATAATTACCATCATTAACATCATTTAACAAGAAGTTACAAAAACAGAAGTGGGGGTAGCTGATCCGAACTCAAACAAACGGCCAGTTACATAAATGGCCCATTTTTTTTTTATCACTGCCGCTGGATGACAACCACAGAGGGTTTTTGTTACACAAAACAGTGGGCAAGGGATAAGAATAGGCTTTGCTCGAGCGCACAAATACAGAAAGGAGAGGAGGAGGAGGAGGAGGAGGAGGAGGAGGAGGAGGAGGAGGAGGAGGTGGAGAAAGCAAAAGAGCCTGAAGAACCAAAAAAAAAAAAAAAAAACCCAAAAAGACAAATATGTAAACGTCTCTCTGGTCTGAAGGGTTTATCCCCCTCAGAAGCTGAGCTGTAGCAATCAACACACCATCAAGCACAATCCAGAGGTTAACAATCAAGAAATCCACAGTTCGGACAATTTTGCAATCCATAATCCACTGCGTAATCCAGCCTGTTCCCTTTCTAGCCCTTTCTAGGTCCTTTCAGTTCTGGGAGGCTGGGGAGAGGAGGTGAGGGAGTGTGTCAAAGAGTAGACCTAGATGTGTGTATGTTTTCTGGTCGTGTGTGAGTGCGTGTTAGGCATATTCCTGTGGGTATATGTCCATAAATGTGTACATTCTGGCATAGTTGTGTGTTCAGGTGTAAACTCGTTTGTATCTACCGCTGACATCCGTTCATTAATGCATCTCAGAGTTGAGTTTGTCCTGGAAGATGTACAGGTTGTTGGTGGCGGCGATGGCGATGATGTTCTCATTCGGGTGCCAGGCTGTGTGGAGGATCTTCTTGGTGAAGTCCAGGCTGTCCACGCTGATGTCGTCCTTCCGGCGCTTTCCTCCAGCGGCGCAGACCCTTCGTGGCTTCAGGACAGCCCGGGGTTTGCTGCTCTCTCTTGATGCCTCCAGGGTCACGTCGCGTTTCGTGTTCCGGTCGAACATGCGGAAGAAGTTGTTGTAGGCTCCGGTCATGATCACGCTGGAAAGAGGAAGAGGAGAGAAAGGACTGTGAGTCTCTCTCATTTGTTAAACTGATTAAACTTTATTGATTACATTAAACTAACCTTAACCCTCCACTACCTGCCTAAACATAAAGGGTCACTTCCTTCACATTATAAAGCCATTGTGGTATCAGGCCATGTAGATGATTTTAGTTTTATTTGGTTAGGTTTAAGATTCATTTGTGGAGCTCACAGCAATAGTGGAAGAAGTATTCAGACCTTCTACAGAAGTAAACACAGAAACTACACACTATAAAAATAGTGAAAGTACAAAAGCATTATCAGTAAAAGTACTTATTATGCAGACTGTCTCCTAACTGCTTTATCTACTGTTAACAAATGTAATCTTTAACAATGCATTGTATTTTCTCAGGTCTAATTATATGTTGTTTTAGTAAGGCTGTTAAATGTACTACAAGGAGTTTTTATCTGGATATGAGGCAGTCTCAAATTAATACTGATGCCTCTATATGACCTACATAAACAAACAAGATAAGATTGTGTATTTCTTTTTAATTATTCTTAATTCCTGCCACCAGGTCGGATTCAGTCGAATTCCCCTTGAAATCAATTAAATGAGGTGGTGGTAGAAACACTACCGCTTTTTTCCACAGGGGCCGCCAGAATCAACACAAAATTAAAGTTCCTTGTACAAATAAATGCAGTGCTGTAAAAAGTACAATATATATTTGTGTAATATTAGAGTATAAAGTAGCATAAAATGGAAGTAACTTTTCAAAAACAATGTCCCTGGTTACGCTGGACATTTGCTGCTGACTTTTCATATTTTTCATAGAGGGACATCTCGAAACCTCAACACATTGTGAATGGTAAAATACTGTACCTGTGTTGGTAAGTAAAAAAAATCAACCAATCAAAACAATCCATAAAATATATAAGAACACCAGTTTTACATGTTCTCACTTACATTTAGTATAGAAACACAAAAACACGCAGACAGACACATGCTGGTACCTGTCCGAGCCGTTCCAGGCACACTCAAACTTGTCAAAGATGCAGTCGTTTTCGTAAAGGGAACACAACTTGCTGCGGAGGTAATCATGAACCTGGAGGAACACACACACACACACACACACACACACAGAGAGAGAGAGAGAGATATGATTAACACTGAGTCCAGCATACAGCTGCTTCACTCCAAGCTATTGACTCTCTATGTAAACTATAAATAGAAGAGTGAGCAGAAGACACACACCCACACACACACACACACACACACACACACACACACACACACACAAAGCTCAGCACAGACAAAACACATTAAATCGGGCAAGCTGAAACACAAGCCTCCCTGAAGGTAACTCTAATAAGACACAACAGCAAGCCCTCAGCAATATGAGGGCCAAGAGTACATTTTAATCTAAACTCCTTTTCCATATCAGTAAATCCATTAACAACCAAACCCACCAAGGGCATGATAATAGAGACACACATGTGAAAGCACACACACACACACACACACACACACACACACACACACACACACACACACACACACACACACACATTCACTGACTAATAACTCTTTTCCCTCGTGCTTTCCTTCGACCTGCCTGTGTCAGCACTGTGTCTGCTCGGTGATGCAAAGGGTTGAAATCTACACCTCCCTCCAGCCGCCGTGCTCTGCATTAAGCCCCCTATTTTCACATTCTGCATAAAGTCAGCAGTCAACAGTCGCCTTGCAATCAATAAACGGTCAAGCTGAGGTCGGCTCATGGTTGTACATCAAACCCGGTGACATTTTGGTTTTCCCCTATGGGTCTTTCTGCTCAGGGTGAAATGTTACAGTGTCAGCTGAAGCTGAATATACCAGGTTTTTTTTTCCAGTCCGCATGATCTCTGATTTAGAGTACAGTGTCTCGTCCCTCATGGACTTGTGCATATTTTTCATGTTCCACGACGAATAGGAGTTTAAAATTTACCAAAATAAGAGCAGTTAAACCCTGAAATCCTTTTTCTGCCCTCAGTCTACTCTATTCAACTCCTGCCATTCCTCTTCCTCATCTTCTCATTTACAGACTCACTCTTCCCTCCTCCCTTCATCACACCATCCTCACACTCCCTCCCAACCACCACCACCACCACCACCGCCACCCCGCCACTCTCTCTCTCTCTTCCTCTCCCTCCGTGCTGCATTGCAGATCTAGGTGTTGGACGCTGTGTAAGGTATCCCTCCTTCCCGTTTCACTTTATGAGTGGAAGCTCGGCAGCCTATTAATAGCTCCGGTACGTCTTAGCCTCCCACTCCTGGCTGCCTCATGGGCCCTCACACGTCAGGCAGACACACACACACACACACACACACACACACACACACACACACACACACGTTCTCCCACACGCCCGTGGCAGGAATACTAAACACACACTGAAAAAAGGAGTTGATAAACACTTCTACTGTGCATAACTGCATAAACAGAAGCTGGTGTGGCCTACTGTAAACAGCTAGAAGTGACACAGGAGATAAATTGAGTGTGGATGTGTTTGTTTCTGTGTACATGCATGTCACTTCATCTCTATTCCACATATATGGCATCTTAACAATTTACTGTTTGTGTCTGTCTCATGGATGAATTAATCTCACTCAGAGATACATGTACAGATTATAGTCCAGAGTTGAAAAGTAAGGCCACAGCGAGGTTTTCTGGTGATTCTGCACTGACGAGAAGATTCTCTGGCGCGTAATCAATCCAATTATCCTTAAAAGGTTTTGGGGAAAAAAATCTAATCATCAGCAAGTACTGTGATTGTGAGAGTAAACTGTCCTCCCATGATTCATTTCTGTCTCCAATTTTGCATATTTCCAGGATGACAATGTCTCCTTTCAGTAAAGGGGCAGTTAGTCAGCAGGCAGTTTGGAGAAATGCGACAGTGATTTCAGTCACAAACACTAACATCATGGAAGTGAACATTTAACACAAACGGGTCCTCTGTTAGAAGAAGCTCTGCTCAGAGAATCAACACTGGACTGAGGAATAAACCTCCAAATAACAAACATCTGAACTATGTTGTATTTATTTCAGAGAGGCCAATGAGTAACAAATTATAGGAAAGGGCAACATAGAGGCTACCACACATGACCACATGAACAGCGATTACCCTCATTTGGTGTTTTGACAATGGTGTTAGAGAGCCTAACAGTCCAAAAGTCCTCTCATGTTTTCTATAAAAGCATCTGCTTTTGTTATGTTTCTCCACTTATTTTTTCCATGTTCCTCCTTGAATTTGCCACCAAGCTGTAACTTAAAACACACATGAACATTTTTACCATCTTTGAGTCCAAGATACCAAAAATCTTAACACTTAAGCAGGACTGAAGTGATGACAGCAGAGATGTAAGAGAACAGAAGACACAAAAATGCTAAATTATATGGAGCCAATTCCAAAGTGCCCTAAATTAAGTTTACTGTGTGATTTCTCTGTAGGTCCGTCCTTAGATAATGAATCTAATGTAAAAACTGGTTATATCCATTAATTAGAATAACACCATGAGATAATGTTATTTTAAAAAAAGAAGAAAAAAGAGAATTATACAGGACTATGGACTGCATTTATGTTATATATGAAGGGAACACATTTAATTATGTTTGTGTTGATCTTTGGATTGAACAACATAACAGATGTGGACAAATTAATTGTAATCCAGTTACATTATTAATAAAAAGACAAACATAATGGCAAAAAAGACAAACATAATGTATAATATTATTAAGAATTATTAAGAAAGAACAAAAAGAAATGTTATTGCTTATTCCTCAACTACAGGGTGTGTGTGTGTGTGTGTGTGTGTGTGTGTGTGTGTGTGTGTGTGTGTGTGTGTGTGTGTGTGTGTGTTTTCAATCACTGGTTTGTCAAATTATATGTAATTGTGATTTGGTCTATTTTTTTAGATAGAATTATGTAACAAAAACACATATTAAAAGAACAGTCAGCTGATTAAGCAAGAATAAAACAGCCAATCAGTGGGCAACCACAGCGTCAGTGTTCTGCTTGGCCGCACTGACTTCTATTTGTGGTGTGCCAAAAGTAGCTAGTGGGACACCAGTAAAAAGGAATTTCTAGCTTATACATACAACTTATAAAATTGGAAATAAATAGATGATCCTTCAACATTATATTAGTATTATTGAGATCTGCAGTGATTTCAGCCTTCTGGGAGATGTCTGGATTTAAAGAAAATATGTCAACGCTTCCCCCACTGCTGATCAGTTCACCTTTCCCAGACTAAATTTGCTCCATTCCAGACGGAATCACGGTAGCTGAGCCAGAGAGAAAATATAAATTCTTCCTTTTTTTTTTTTGTATTTTAACGCAACCTCATGCTTTTCACATGTGGGCAGTCACACACCTGGTATGTCTCCAGGGGCTTGCTCTCCATGTTGAGGTCCCAGACTTTGGCAGTCAGGTAGTCTCTGGTGAGCAGGTAGCGACCGCTGTGGCTGAACTTGACATCTGACACCGAGGAAATGATCTCAGAGAAGAAGGAGCGGGCGCTGGGGTCCTCGGGCTCCTCAAACACTGGAGAGAGTGGGAGAGAATATGGGAGAGAGAGGGAGAGGGGATGAATGCTGTTAAGACGGATCACATGCAGAAATTTATCTCAGGTAAACAGAAATCTCTCAGATGATTCTGTATGTTGACTGTAGTCTACGGGTCAAACAGACCACAGAGGTGACTTCTGTTTATGGACAGGTGAATGTTTCTACGTATAAACATCAGCACATTTCAAATACAACAATCAAAGGTCTTCTTAAAATAACAACACAAAGAAAGAAGCCTGGCAAATACAGGCATTTCACACTGAATGTCACAAACAAAAACTAGATCCCTTGCAGTGTTCACTCCACTAGTGACTCATACAGGTTCGAGCTGTAAAACACATGGGAAACAAGCCATTTCAACTTGGAAGTAAACAGGTAAAATAAATAAGGTGAAGGAAGAAAGTTGGGAAACCATAAATCTGAGGCATAAGAGAAAATGTTCCATGGATTGAATTGTTGTCCCTTAAGGACAGCAGATTTATGGGTAAACTAATTCTGTTCTATATTAATGAAGGCATGGACCTGCAGTGGAAAGAAATACTATTAAATGGTGAAAAAAGAAGAGACTGTGCTCCTAAACTTTAATTCTTACACATAATTTACTTTCCAATAAATGAACTCACCTGTGGTTTTGCAGGTTTAATTTAATTACCTACAAGTTGACAACACAGTATTTAGTCCAATCTTGGAATGCACCACCAAGGAAGAGTCCCTGCTCTTAACTAACTGACCTCTATATATAACATTTAGGATGATCTAATGCAATATACGGAATATAATATCCATAGATAATGTATAATCAAATAAGAAATAAGAATTGTTTTATTTTTGTTACTTTAGAATGAGCCTTTTATATCTACTGATGTTGCGGGTCACCAAGTTATTATTGAATTTAGTGAAAGAATCTCATGTTTTAGGGGGTCAGCCATGTTGAGCCACCAAGTTTCTACAGTGGCCCAGAAGGTATCAATCAAACACTGGCTCTAGATGGGGCCTTTCAAGTCTTTCACAGCCAGCATAGTTTCTGCTTAATGCTTGGAAGGGGAGGGTGACGCGAGGGAGTAGCAATAGGCAACTACACTGCTAGATACTACATACTGGACCTTTAAAGGTAGAACATTTATTTAAAAACTTGGGGTATGCTTTGAAAAGCTGCAAAATTACTCTTACTCTGACTTGTAGTTCATAGGTTAAAACATGTAGAACTACCAGTTTCAGACATTTTGACCTTTTCAGGACCCTTGTGGAGAGAGAAAACACAATGTGTATGTCTCAGCCTTCAGCAGGTTTACTCACATTTTGAGTGTTTGTCACACAGTGCTGCTTCCCTCATGTCACAGAGGCGCAGGGTGCCTTTGCTGCTGCTATAGACAAACAAGTTACAGTGGTGGGGGTGAAACTCAGCCGCTGTGATCACCTCTGTCAGATCCTCCATGTTGGCTGGCTTGATGTCCACAATGTCTGGGAGAAGGCACCGCTCAGGAAGACAACACAGTCACGACAGTCAACTTCACCAGGGCTGCAGTTTGTTTCAGCCCGAACTGTTTCTTACTTGCTGAAGTCTACCACACTGTACGTAAATATTCGTTCATTCATTTTTTTTTTTTGTCAATTCTATTCACTAACTGACTTAATGAGAAACTAATTATATTGTGTTCATGTGGAAAAACCCACAGGGGTCCATAATCCGCATACAAAATAAAAACATAAGTATATGCAAATGTACACATAACCAACACAATGTAAATAATTTACAGGAGAAATACAGCAAACCAATATAAATATATCTTGCAGGGATTGTTTGGAGAAAAGTAATTCCATATTCAGATAAACTGTAATATTATAAATCCTGTCTGGGTCAGGGATGTGACTGTACTGTGTCCTATTGAGCTGGATTAGAACTCAGAAAGGGGCTGAAATATTTATGCAGCCTTTGAATTATTCATTAAGCTACAATTTCACTCTTCAAGAATAATATTACCCTCCCCCAATGTGTGTCTTTGTGCATTTCTTTATACAACAAAGTGGGATTCGTAATGTGGGAGTTTGTGTGTGTGGGGGCACGGACTCTCTATAAGCATCTATGTGTTAATGCATAAATGATCTGAGTCCTTCTGCTTTAATAAATCTATTCCTGCTTTTACATGTGCTTGTGCATTTGTGTCCGCACTCTGCCTCCATGATTGCATGTATGTTTGTCATTTCCTCCCTCTGCATGCACAGTACAACCCACAAAGGATACTGAAGCTGCGGTCAGTGATGTCCAGATGCCAGAGGTTGATCCTCAGGTCATCGGCTGACATGTAGGTCTCATAGTCGGAGTTGACGGAGATGGAGTTGACGTGGTAGGTGTGGGCATTGGCGAACACTCGCCGCGGGCTCACCTCCACCATCAGGTCCATCGGCTTCAACACCGGCACCTTTGAAAAGAGCAGTTTAACATCCCATATAACTGATTAGGAGAGGAACGATGGTCAAGATGCACACAGTAGATTGAATTTAAATAATTGTGTTGTATCATGAATTAATATTTAATGCATTACTTTCTTTGACATCAATAATAAATAGTTGCTAGAACCCTGACTTGCTTGCTTGAAAGCGAGATCAAGAGCCAATACGGTGCAGCATTTTTATATCCTGACATTTGCATTAACACATAATTTCATTGTCAATGCATGATTTACATTTTTATACACAGCTTAAATGTGTGTCCCTATTTGCATACAGCACAGTGGGAGCCTCATCACCATACACATACATGTTCCCAGACCTCTACAGAGCAGGACATACTATACACACACGAGCAGTGCTGCTGCGTCCAGATTACCAGAGATTCACCACAAATAGAAACACTTACGCTTTGACTCATTCAGATCCAGTGCAGATGTTGCACTGCTGTTCTGTACAGCTGGAAATTGAGGTTTTCTCCGCCCCGGCACACACACACAGATACACACATGTACCATTGTGCCAGTGACCCATTTTTTGCACGTGCAAACACATCTGTACCCACTGACCTAGTTATGTTGTTACTGGCTGCATGAATGTTAAATTGTGTGCAAGAAGGTAGATGGATAGATGGATAGATAGATGGATAGATAGATAGATAGATAGATAGATAGATAGATAGATAGATAGATAGATAGATAGATAGATAGATAGATAGATAGATAGATAGATAGATAGATAGATAGATAGATAGATAGATAGATAGATAGATAGATAGATAGATAGATAGATGGGTGTTACCTGTAGGGAGGTGACAGTGGACATGTCCTTGATGCGACCCTCCTCATCCTTCAGGTTGTATCCCTCTGGCCGTTTGTCTCTTTCACTCACCTTCCACAACTTAATGGTCTTATCTGGGAAACAGATCAGATAAGAACAGATGTAATTTTAAAGTGTAAATGAATATAAGGGACTTGTTGATACGCTCTGAGGTTAGGAACCTATCAGGAGATCTCCGATTAGATGTGATTAAACACATCACAGTAGGTTAAATCATAATTTCAACACAAATTGGTAAAGCTAAAAGCCGAAAGTCTTTTTTTAAAGAGCTGTTTAGGATTTTAGCATAAAGTCAGGCACTTGAACCCAAAAGAAATGACTTAATAGACTAGATAATCCACCACACTTCAAACTGTCAGCTGTGAAAGACAGCGGGGACTCTAAATGAGCTATCAGCAAGGTTTTGTTGTACCAACACTGACAGACAAAGAAAGTCTCTTTATTGTATTGAAAAAATGACAGAAAGCGTTCCAGTAGCAGCATTACCCAACTGCTGAGGCAGGTCTTACATTTTTCATACCCTCAATCATAAATAATATAGTACTTAAATAAATCAATAACAGGGCGCTCAGGGAAAATCTATAGATCTTCCAATATAGCAATAAACTCAGAATGTAAACTGATGATGGGACCTCTTATCAAAGACAGACAAACTCCTAATGTACTCTCTCTTTAGGCAAAGAAAAATCTGTTTTCTGATCTAAAAAACTGCATTAATTTCAACTAGTCATGCTTTTTAAAAACATAATTATTCAAACTGGTTCAAGTAAAGTGTTTTCCCATAACATACGAGCCAAGCACATAACTACTGCCTCGTCCTCCCGGTCCCTCTAAAACGTGTGGGGTCTCACCATTGGTGGAGAGGAGGAAGTGTGCGGCGTTCTGCTGAGGCAGCCATCGGATCTTATTGATCTTCTCCTCGATCTCCAGACTCTTAAGGTAGTCAAACTCGGGCTCATGGCTCTGAAAGGTGCTGTAGACATTGTACTCTCCCTGGGAGAATGGCTCAATCTTGCTCTGTGGAAAGAAAAAAGGCAATGTAACACCCCGGAGCCTGAGCCAGTGTCACCTTGATCATGTGAAGAAATAGCATGGCATGGGCACAGCTGTAATGATACACTCTCTGACACAGCAGGAGCATCAACTATTTATCAATCAATGAAGACTGTAGCTGGAGGGGGACAGTGTGCGTTCAACACAGCTCTCAGAGCTGGAATGAAAAATGGTATATTTGTGTGTACATGGGTGAGTGTCTACCTCAGGTTCCCTCTGAAAGATGACCACTCTGCCCCCTTTGTCCCCTGTGGCCAGGAGCTCTCCTGTGTGGTTGAACTCAACAGTGGAGATGATATCAGCTGGGGAAGGAGAGACATAGAGACAAAGATGGAGGAAGAAAAGAGAGGAAGAGGGTGTGAAAGATTGGTAGGGAAAGATAGAGAAAGAGAAGCCATTAGCTAATTGACCACACATCATCATTCATCCATATAATCTCTTTATCTGACTTTAAATTATTAAACTGAGGAGTCAACAGTCAATGCATTAACATGCAAGTGGATTAAAACATGCAAATTAATGTGTAGAATAAAACAATATTTGACTAATAATACAAATACTCTGCAATTGTCTGTAAAGCTTCAGAGAAAATTCAGACATGTTATTATCCCATCAAAATAATACAGAAAATTAAACACACACACACACACACACACACACACACACACACACACACAAGCTCTTTCACATTAGAAACAGGTGTTATCTGTTTTCCAGTATGACACATACACAATGACGCACACTATGACATGTTACTTGAGTTCATCGTGTATGTGTGTGTGTGTGTTTGTGTGTGTGCATAGAAATAATTACAGACTTTAATATCTTTAGTGTCTTAAAGTGTAAGCACAACTCAGGGTGTATTAATGGTTAAATATCATTCAAATATATTTTTTCAGGACATTGATTTGCATATTTGCGACAATGTCCCCATCACTAGTTCTGTGTCTCGAAACACCAACACAGTCTGACTCAGTGACAACAGTGTAACATGAGGAGTAAGCACGTTATTAACCACTTAGCATTTACTGCCTCAATGCTTTCAGTGGACCTTTCTGCATCACACAATACACAGAATGTGAAATAGAAAGCACTTGGTTGTACCGTCTGTATGAAGCACATGTAATATCTGAAGCCTGAATATGGTTTTTAATGTTTGATGTAATCTCCTCCCTTCTGTCTACTTCCCCTCCTTTCACCTCCCCAATGTACTGCAGATTATACTCAGTGTTTAAAGTCACCCCTCCACTCAGAAATCGTTTTTTCTTCTTGAAAGGGGGATGTTTGAGCTTCACTGTGCAGAGTTTGACACTAGAAGGATGTTTTCACATTCATCTGCTGAAAGAGGAAAGTTTCTCTGTGCTCACTGAAAATCTGATTTTAATGGGCGGACCAAAGAACATGATTTGTCACATCACAAATAGTTTGGAAGTTAAACCTGGTCCAGTTGCAACTTATACAAGTATGATGTAGAAACTTGAAGCCACCAAGTGCACAAACGTTGAGAATGGACTTTACAGTGAAGGAGACATCTTGTGTCCAGCAGGATAACTTTACAAATAAACATATATTATCTGTATATATGTCTTGTCTGGAGGGGATCTTTAAACATCTGTCAAAGTAACTATAAACTGAGGTTCAATGAGAAAGAGGCAGAATAAGAGGACGTAGCTATCGTGGTATGAAGCCATGTAAAGTTATCTCAGGTCATCTAAACCTCGAAGTTCGAACTAGCCACATTAGGTAAGCTATCTTGTGAGTCTGCTGACCCAACAAATTCAAGAATGCCACGGTCATGAATGGATAAATTTAAAAAGCCATCATCATGTTAATATTTAATAGACCCATATTTTTTACCTGCTTTGACATCTTCCCATTTTCAGGCTCCTCGGTCACCCTAATCCTAATTTATGAACTAAACAAACAAGTAAACAAGTCCAGTCCCTTCACTAATACAAGTGACTGAACGTTCAGCTCAGCTGTGAAGTTTCAAATCTGTGGTTGGACTGTTTTCACACTTGTAAATACAAAGGCCGTGTTAAGGACAGACAGTTGCTGGTGATGCTGTCACCATGGCGATTGGGCTTCAGTAACTGGATAATCTTCAAAATAGTCATAATCGACCACAGTCGAAGCAAGCTATACTTCATCATGATACACAAAACAGTTCTCAGTTCAGCAGTTCAGTTTCTAATGTATGAGGCTGTAAGTAGGATGTTAAATCTACATGATTCTTTCAGGCTGACCAAATCAGTTCACAGCTGATTAAACGTACTACAAGGAGTTTACAGCTTCACAATTTAAAACTGATGCCTCCATATGACCTACATAAACAAACAAGATCATCAGCGAGACAGCTGCCTATTTGGTTCTTAATACCTGCCACCAGCAGAAACGCTACCGCTTTTGTCCACAGGGGCCAGCAAAATGAACAACACAATGCAAAATGACAGTTCCTTGTACGGGCAGTAAGTCATTTTAAAGGAGCATCTCTTGGCTTTGGGGGGTGTTGTTGTCACAATGAGGTTTGCAAGAAACCAGCAGAGACTCCATGAAGTTACTGTGCCCGGACATGAAATAGTTCCAGCATTTAAACTCCCCTAAAACCACAACTTGTCATTTTTGCATTTTGGTTATTGTACAAAGTACCAATGTAACCAATGTAGCAAGTCTGATTCCTTGCTGCAGTGGCCCAGGGTTTGAATCCGACCTGCGGCCCTTTGCTGTTTGTCACTCTTCAGCTGTCACTATCGATTAAAGGCACTAAAAGCCCAAAATAAAATATATTTTTAAAAACACAACAAGAACACCCAGTTCCACTTTATATGCCACTATGGTCTTCTGGGACATTTTAACATCAGTGATAAGCACGTGATATGTCTGTTGCTACAATGAAATATTTCAAAACACTGGCAGTAAAATTGCTTGCATGTAACTTTTGCAGATTACCAACCTAGCATGACGATTACTTAACATTAGCTATTTTCCTGCATAAAATTGTGTCTGAAGGAACATAGAGTTCTTTTTTTTTATGATAAAATCCATAAACCTATTCCACCTAAAAACACAGTTATTTTCAAATTGTGTTCAAGGTAATCGAGAAACAAGCTGCACAGCCCACAGGCATATTAACAAAGTGCATTTGACTGACCTTGTGTTCTAGCCTCTAAAGCAGTCCTGACTCACAGAGGTTTTTGTATAATAAAATCAAATATCACATAACATCTTAAAATTTTTTTTTTTTAAAAGACTAATGTCACATGCAGTATCCCACCAAGCTTCCAACAAAAGAGTACTGAGCTCAGTTTTGATAGAAAAAAACACAGTCTTCAATAAGCATTGACTGTAATAAAAATAGAGCATATTTATTGAGAGTCGGAGTGATTCAAAGCTGTAGCCTTGCCTATTTTGTGGCGGCCTTGAGAGAGAGAGATTTTATGATTATATGAGGGGTGGCAGGGACATCTCCTCCATCTCTACACCAACATCACCCTGTTCCTTGCATACTTGATGTATTACTGGTTGCCTCTTTCTCTGTATATATATTATTTTTCCATTAGTTACTAGTTTCTCTCAATCACTGCAGTACCTTCTTTATTCTTCAGTTTCAATTCTTTCACCAGGCTTTCTCTCTCTCTCTCAGTCCCTCTCCCCCCCACATGTTCTTTTGTCATCTCTCGTCTCGTGTTCCCCAGTTTCTGTCTTTTGCCCCATTTCACTCTCTCATTTCCTTCTTGGTTGTCTACCCACATTCAGCTCTCTCTCTCTCTCTCTCTCTCTCTCTTTCTCTCGCTCACATCCCTCCCCCACGGCACTCTGCTGCCTGGCTGTAGGTTAGCGTGTACGTGGTGGTGGTGGTGGGGATGCTGGTGGTGTAAAAATGGGAGGGATGGAGAGGGAGGTGGAAGGGAAGAGGCGCTGGGGGCGGAGGGGTCCGTTGGTGAGCAGCGGTTGCCATGGTAACAGGCTGAGCCAACCAGTAGCAGCGGTACTCGTAGCGGTTAGCCGTATATGGCAGTCTGGTGAAGGAGGAAGTGGGATTCATCAATCCAATCCTCGCAGGAAGAAGGAGCGCGGTAAAATAATTACGGCCACTGACAAACATTGCTAAATGAATACAAGGAGATGGAGCAGACGCCGGGTCCAAATTGGGAATATGCAGATAATTAATGCATAGACACACGATGGCACACAAAAATACAAAAACAGACCCTTATACATGCAGCAAAATTCACAAACACACCTATGCACACCACGGCAAATGTGTGTGTGCTTGATGCTGTGTGTGTGTTTGCAGATCCAACAATTTTACAGATAACTGTGTCTCCACTCAAGTCGCACAGAGAAAGAGCTAAGCTAAGCAAAACCACAGGAGCGGCACACAATATAGCTGAATAAAATATGGAGCACACACTCTCCTCTCTCATCCTCTGTAGTCAAACTGAAGCCTCTTTATCTTTCTGTATTTCTCTCGTCCCCCCCCCTCTCTCACACACACACACACACACACACACACAAATACACAGCCCTCACCCATCTGTCTCTCTGATGCTCTTCATTACAAGAGCACTACAGAAAAAGAAACCTCTAAGAATACAAACAACCACTGCAGAAACAAGCACCATCACTTGCGCTGTGGCTCTCCTCCAAGAGGCACCACTGGCCAGTGTACTGATGTAATATGTATGTGTGTGTGTGTCCGGTGTGTGTGTGTGTGTGTGTGTGTGTGTGTGTGTGTGTGTGTGTGTGTGTGTGTGTGTGTGTGTGTGTGTGTGTGTGTGTGTCAAGCTGTAAGTCAATGTCTTATAGTGTGGATTTGTGTGTGCTACAGTATAGCAAGCTAGCTGTGTCTGTCTCCCACAGACAGTCCATTAGCATCAGCAGGCCTGTCTGACTCATCGCCACACTGCAGGAGCTGGGGGAACACACTGTGACTGCAAGTGCATGCGCCCACACATACAGTACATATCAACTCAAAACAACACACAAACATGAATGAACCCAGTGACACAAAGATGGATAAAAAACCATGTAGACGTGATAAACACCAAACACATAAACACCCCAAGGCACTGTGAGGTGCTGTTTTATATCACTGTGAATCGAATATCTTTGAAAATGTTTGTTTTAACAAAACAAGAAATTTTAAGACGTCACCCTGAGCCTTAACAAATGTGATGGTTGGATGATTTTACAGACCACACTAATTCTTCTAACTCTACACTAACTACACCAGACTAATTATATATAAAAATGACTGACAGATTGAACTAAACGGATCAGTTGATGAATGTGAATCAACAGAAAATAAAACCGTCAAGAATTTTAATAATCGATTTGAAATTTTAGTAAAATAAATGGACAATGCAAGGATTTTGCTGCTTTGCTTTGTTTTAACTGAGGGGTTCTGAATGACTGGTTGCAATCTGAAGATGCTATCTGACATTTTATAAAGCAAAAATTAAGCAATTAATGAGAAAACCTTGAGAATTACTATTACACACATTAGTGCTCATCTGTGGCTAATAAACAAGAGGCAGCAGAAAGCAGAAACTCTTGAGAGGAAAGGAGGGTTACGGGACAGATGAGGGTAGTGGCGTAGGTTGAGGGAGGTGGATTTCTTTAGTTCTTTTTGTTAAAGCTAGTATAGGGACAGAGAGGGGAGCAGACGTCCTACAGTCCCAATTATAGATGTCTTAGGTCTGGGTAAACACAGACCATTAAAGCCGAGCCAAAAACACACACTCCTTAAAAGCGAGGACAAGCCACCACTCAGCAGGAGACGTGTGTGTGTGTGTGTGTGTATATGTGTGTGTGTGCGCGCATGCTGCAGCTCAAGCACCCCACATTTCCTGTGTACGTGTGCACAAGTGTGTGTACTCAATTACCCTGTAGAGAAATAAACGGGATGGAGGGAGAGAGGGAGAGAGGGAGAGGTGGGAGCAAAGAAGATGAGGGGAGCGACTGCCGGAGGGAGACGTTAAATTGATCCCTGTCCTGCAGTTCTGGAGTTATCTGAAGAAAAAAAAAAAAAAAACTGGTGCATGTGTTTGTGTTAGAGGTGCACGTGTGTGGAGAGGAGTGATTTAAGCCCAGCACAGCAGGGAATCTGCCATTTCTCCAAACACACATCAGCACAATGGAGCAGAGCTGGTGTGAGCCTAATGGTTATAGACACAAACAATTAGAATGACAAACCAAGCTGGCTTCAGCTTCATGTGTGACATACACCTGTAATCCTGCTTTGCCTGGCTGCAAAGACATCTTCTAGCTGATTGAATGAATTCTCAGAGCTGCAATGTGTGAATAATTTTTGATGAAAATCAATTTGTTTTTCCAATAGATTTGTGAGACTGTAACATAAAAAAAGATTAGGAGCTTAGCTGGTTTACATCCAATCTAACCCCGGCGATACTGAAAACTGAAATTATGTGTCAACGCCTCATACATACTGAAATGTAATCCCATATTCGGAGAACTCTCGCCCTTTTTTTAATGCTGCCACTTGAATCTTTGTGTGCAGATGTGCGTAGATCTGGAATGATTGACAGCACTACATATGTATATGTGTATCAGCAAAAATGGCTTAAATTCAGTAGTTCCGCCTTCTCAAATGTTAACCTTAGCTGAGTTATTTTCTTTAATTTACGATAACATTTTATAGACACAATTAATCATTAAATTGAGAAATTAATCAGCACATGAATCGATAATGAAACAAATTATTAGCTGTGGCCCTACGTGTGTGTGCGCATATCATTGTCTGCACAGTACATATAAGGTATATATGTGTTTAGAGGTTTAGAGAGTGTGTCTTTGCATGTTCATAAGTTTTCCTCCATATTAAGTAGTAGTAAGTAGGATAAGATAGCTTTGCTTTGAAGAAGACAGGGTCTCGTCTGGGCAAACTATTTAAAGACATCTATCAAACACACACACACACGCTTGAAGCAGGCAGACTGAGACAAAAATAAAGAAGCAGGAACAAAAATAGAGACACACATAAAGGATGAAGCAGACGGACAGAAACAAAGTGATGTTTAGGATATTTATAACACTCAGACTCACGTGAGAATTCATCTGATTTTAACTGCACACACACACACACACACACACACACACACCTAATGATACACACACACACTCTATCCGAACACACACACACTCTCATATCTCACACGGGGGTCATGTGGCACAACTGTGCGACATAGATATGACCTTCGGGATAGAAGAGGATAGAGCACACACCTTCAGTGTAAGAGGCAAACGGCTCGGGCTCCAGAGAAAGGGTAGTGATGTCGGAGCACAGGACCTGGATGGGGCTCAACATCCTGGGGGAGGACTCCAGGGTGGAGAGGGGTGGACAGGATGGGCGGAGCTCTTCAGGCTATAGCCAGGAGCAGCCCTGCAAGAGGAGCAAGGATGGAGGGAAGGGAAGGGAGTAAGGGGGGGCAACAGGGAGAAGCAGAGGGGAAGGAAGGAAGTACCGGGGGAGGGTGGGGTTAAGGGTAGGGACTGAGTTACTGCATCACCACATTTGGCCATGAGTACCCACCAGAGAAAAAAATATAGATGGTGTATTTATCATCATTCTGTATCTACACAACATGATGTATTCACATGTTGGGTTTGGCAGGAAGGCTAGCAAGACATGCAGGATGTACAGAGACAGACAGCTCTTCATATGTCTTAGTAGGTAAAAGTGTAGATAGCTCTCACATTTCCCCAGAGGTGACAATGATTGACAATTAGAAAGGAGCAGTGAGAGCTGGTGAAAGATCACATACAAATATGATGACTAACAATTATTTTCATGATTGATTAATCTGTCAGTTAAACATAATGACCTGCGCTCGTCACAGGCTGCTAAAGCCCAAAGCAATTTCTTGAAATTCTAAACCCTGTGAGCAACAGTCGAAAAAAACCCAAAGGAATACAGTTTGGAAGTAGGCCTATATGAAATTGAGACAAGCAAGTAAATAATCATGTCTGAGATGCTGAGGTCAGCAAATGTTTGATATTTTTACTTTTAGAGTTAATTATACAACTTATATTTTTACAGTGAGCTACATACATTGTACATTGGGCTTTAATTACATTCTTATTGGTTGTTCCTCCTTTCTTCTTTACCATTTTGCATTTCCACACTTTTAACTTAACAGCATTGATACTTTTGTATAGGTGCACACAAATAATGGGGGGGTTAGTGTTGTGGGGGTTGCATTATTTATGAAATGGAAACAATCATAAATAATGTATTTACAAAAATGTCAAAAATGTCAAGTCTAAATTCTGAAGCTAATGCCACCCCAGTCGGAGGTGAGGTTGTACATAGGGAGACACTGAGGAGGGCAAAAGGAGTGAGAGGAAGGGAGTAAGAGATGGAGGGGAGGGACGCTGAGGTAGAGGGAGGTTAAGCATCCCTCCCCTGAAGGAGTTAAGGGCAGGGGAATCCCCACGGGAAGATCTACAGACACACACTTATGTATGCGCACACACACACGTATAAATACACAGAAAACCCTTGCAGACACAAACCCACACACAGTATGCACTCGAAGACACAGACATGAATATGAATGCAACGCAGGTAAAATAAATAAAGACAGAAAGATAGAAAAATGGAAACACACAGGAGCTAACAAAATACACCCAAGCATAAAATCGCATGCACCACCTCACTCTGTCTGTCTACAACCTTCTGGCTTTCCTCTTTAACACACACACATACAGAGGCACATTGTGTTTGAGCAGCCTTTACAGCACTGTTGGATAATTGTTTGGCAGACACGCCACTTCAGCACCAGGCAATGCTGCGAGTTGCATTAGAGGACCGATTGGGAAAGAGAGGGAGGGGGAGCCAGTGGGGGGATGGAAATGGGGAGGAGGACGGGGGTGGGTGGGGTGAACGTGGAGGAAAGGTGGAGGGGGTTGGAGTGGATGTAGAAGAAGAGGCAGGTAATGAATCATTTTGTGTATTTGTGATAGAATATTATCTCATTTGGTCATTAGGGGAATTCTTGTGAGATTGATTTTTAGAGCACAATTTGTAGAGTATTCTTCTGCAACTATCTCTTTTCAATCTGTCCATGTGTTGCACAGCCCTTTCAGACCAATAGTGCTCAGTGGTGCATCCACCTTGGTGTGAGCTCATCAGCAATTCAGCCTGAATAATGTCTGTGTCTGCCTGAGATGTGTGGAATAATTAATACTGCCATTATTGGTGGGTGGAGACAACCTGTCAATCATATTGGCCAAGCATGAAAAGCAGCATGTTTATTATCACGGACTGTTTCTATGGCAATAATGGATGGTTGGCGATGGGTGTTAAGACTGATTTTTCTGCAACTATTTCATCATAATCCTTTTCTGAAATGGACAAAGACACATATTTGTCATGGAAATACTGTAAGTATAAGAAAAGACGCACACACGCACAGGGACAAACAAAGACACACACACACACACGCAGATATTCTTCAATCTCAGCAATACAGTATGCTGAATGCACACACAGGCCTTTACACAATCAACAGGCAGCACTACGGGTCTCCCCTGACTACAGTATGTGGTTCTGTGTCAGGGAAATTATATGACAGCACAGACACAGGAAGCATAATTCCCTTTCTGCAGTGATACGAGGATCACAAATGAGCTCACAACACGTTTGTGACCCCCAAATGATAATCCGCTGTTCTGGTCTAAGAGGCGTGGCGAACAATGAGCCGAGTGTAAGAAACAGATTGGGGACAGACAGGCAGGCAGGAGGGCAGACAGGAAGGCTAGTATGCAGGTGAGATTAGTGGTGTAATTGAGATTAGGAGAACAGGGGGGGGGTATCCACTTATAATCCATTTGTTTTATGAAACAAACCAAAGGAATTCAGTGGTTTCAGTGGCTTGTGTACTGCTAGATTGTTTAAATATTCCCCTGCCTGAGACGTGATACTATATAGATATATTCAAGAGGAGAAAGTAAGAGAGAGTGCAGTCATGATGTGAGAGATGAAAAGTGCAATGAGAACAAAATAATGTGGCAGAAATTTCTGGCTAGTGTTTTTCAGAAATCTCTGCTGTTACAGAAAAAAAAAACTGCTTCTCCCACACTCTGTCTCTGACACACAGACACAAACAGAGACATACACACACATTCGGACACAGGCCAGATCAATTCTTTCCTGCAGTGTAACGAAATAGCAGTGTTACACAAGGTAAGGAAGCGGGTACAAAAGCACAAATAAGCAAAAAAAACCAGAAGTGAAAGGTGCAGGACACAAATAAATTGAGAAAAGGGGGGAGGTCCAGAGGAAAACTTGACTAAGATGATTTAATTTTGAAGAGAGGAGAGTGCTTTGCTGCCTAGTTCTTGTTGCTGTCTGCAACTCTGTCTGAACACTGATCAACACAGAGCTTACAGAAGATTAGGAAGCCGTCCTGAGAACACACACACACACATACACACACTCCACAAGTCCAAAAACATAGATACACACTCACATGGGAGCACACTTAAACACACACTTTGTAGCATATAGACACACGCAGCTTCCTCTCTCTCCTTACCTTCAGTCACATAGTTGTGGTCGGGGAGGAAGCCGCGGTGGTTGAGCGTCGGGGTGGCGTCAATGTCTTCGCCCATCAGCGGGGCTGGGGGGAGCGCCCGTCTCGGTGGGGCAGCGTGGTGGTGGCAGATCGGTGGTGGAGGGGGTGGTGGGGATGCCGGCCAGCACAGCGCCCATGCTGCTGCCCGCCGACGCCTCCTCAGCACAGAGGCACAGAGCCGGGCATCCTATCCTTAAATGAGGATGAGGGGCAGGTAGGGAGGGAGTGGGCCGGTCCCGAAGGAGGGATGTGTGCGTATGGGACTCCACACAACTGCTTCCAAGAGCCAGATGCAAACCTGCAAGAGGAGGATTATTATTTGAAAACAGTTCAAAGACTGCCAGGGGTGAGCTTGATTTGTGCCTCAGAAGAGCACACAGTGCTCGTGAGGCAAGAAAAATCCAGCGCACCTCGTGTCCACCCTGCAGCTGCTGAGTCCAGGTGTGGCCAGACCAATTCTACTCTCTCGCATACACACTCAGCATACACAGTCCTGTGCTCTCAGAAATGGGTAAAGTCCCTACTTGTTAATGGATTCTCCAAGAGAAGAGAGGAGAGGAGATGAAGAGGAGGAGGAGGAGAGTGGGGGGAGGGGAGAGAGGGATGAGCAGAGCCCCTAGTCGGTGTATCTGCAGTGCTGCTGCTTCTGCAGTGAACTCACACACATGGACACGCATATACAGTTGGACAAACACACACTCACCTACACACTCGGCAGCTTGTGTGTCAGGTACTCCTCAGTGGATCCTCCATGAATTATGTCTCTCTCCTCCTCAACAGCTAACTGTCTCTCTGGTTTCTCGGCTGTTCCTGTATGAGGAGGAAAATCCTTGTGGCCCTGCGTTCTGCTGCAGTCTGCGCTCTGGCGTATGTATGAAAGGCAGAGTGAGAGGTAGAGAGAGGGGGAGGGAGAGTGAGAGAGAGCGAGGATCTGTCCTGCTGCGCTGGTACGTGTGTGATGCATCAGAGGAGGCCCCGCCCTCTCCTCTGCACAGCCAATCGTTACCAAGCTGAGATCTGCCCGACCACTGACTGCAGGTGATTAAATATGATAAAGAAACGGAGAGGGATGGAGGAGTGGGTGGCGGAGCGGAAGTAGCTGAGTGTCTTATAAGGTTGTGACTAATGGGAGAGAAAGGAGAGAGAGCAGGAGAGGATGAAAGTGGGACTGTTTCACTTGACTGAGTGCTGAACATGAACCACAGTACAGTGACTACTAGAGGATACACCTGGAGACATTATTCAATTAGCATAGAGACGAACACACACACACACACACACACACAGATTTTTATACATAGCAGAATCTCTTCTACCCAAGTCTGCATAGGAGCTAGGGCGGTGTGATAATTTAATTACTGTTTATGGACTTTGAGCAGTATCATAGTATCATATGATCATATCAAGTTATTCTGAAAATTTGTCCTCAGATTCAACCACTGGAAATGTAATTTTGATGCTGGGTATGGGTATGACTCTTATCCCTGTACCAGTGCATAAATTAAAGCTAGTCTGCAGGTTGGTCATTGGGGAGGTGGCAGTTGGGGTGTTCCCAGCATTCCCTGTGGATGGGGTGGATATAGTTCTTGGGAATGACTTGGCAGGAAATAAGAGTTTATGCTGACGTTCCTGTAGCTAACATATTTACCCAAGTTCCTGGTCACCAAGCTTCCTGAGCCGTTGCCTTCAGTGTCAGATGGGGAAACAGCAGCTTCTGAACCTGAGAGCCAGAGTTGTTCCTAGCTTGTGCAGTAACTCGAGCAAAGCGCCACCTTTCTCATTCAGGGATACACAAAAAGATCCACAGGTGGAGAAGCGTTTGCATTGGTAATTTGTGGGCAGCAGTCCTTGTTTTTTTTGCAGGCATTACTTTTCTTTCAACAACACTAATTCTGTCTGTAAAAAAAGAGGCTCACTTAATGCTGAGACATGCAGCAGGCAACTGCCAAGTGGTACGGTAGGAGGGACTGCGTTTTTATAGAGATCTCTGTGGCAGACAGCAAAGACTTTAAAGTCAATTTTGATAGAGCAAAGACCAGATTCAGTTATTCTGGAGGAACCGACAATATCAAACCTAAAAATGAATCCAAACACAAGCGCAAACGAAAAAAATGTTAGTATTAATTTGGGGATTGCAGCATTTTGATGCGTATAATGGTTCTGGGACCCCACTGGTAGTGTACACCAACCATTTTGGGAAAAACAGTTATTCATTTTCTTTGCTAAGAGTCCGATGAGAAGATTGATACCACTCCTATTCTTCTGTTCAAAATGAAGCCACTGCCAGGCTGTGCCAGAAGCAGGGGGAAACAATTAGCCTTGCTCTGTCCAAATGTATCCAAATTCACCTACCAGAACCTCTAAAGTACAGTAATAAACACTTGTTTAATGCATACAAACTGACCACAAGTTGTTGTTTATGGGGGATTATGTGTCGCTGTGTTTGTCTGGATTTTTTTTCGTCAGCAAGAGGTTGCCAAGCAACCAATAGAGAATCCAGGAAGTCACTGTACCTGGCATTAAACAGGCCAGCACTTTAACCTCCATAAAACCACAACTAAACTCAACAAACGAGATAAAATGTGTAAATTAATTCAATTTAGAGGTTCTATACCCACATTTTGTTAACTGGACTAGCTGTTTTCCCCAGTTTTTAGTCTTTGTGCTGAGCTAACAGAAGTTAAGATAAGATTTTAGAAGCTGGAATCTGTTTATTTGCTTGTGACCTAAGCAATTAATCAATTATCAAAGGGTTGGTGATTAGTTTTCTGTCAACGTTTCGGCTCTAATTGGTAGTATCCATATTAAAAATAATCCACCCACCCCTACTTTGCGAATTAGTTAGATTATTTCAAATGTGACCTTGAATTAATTTCCCAAACAGTGATTTACATAATAATAATAATAATAATAATATCAGAAAATATCCTAATTAATTTAAGAGTGAATATTTCAGCCTAGGCTTTCTACTACACTACTTCTAATGGTAAGAGAATACTTAAATGTACAAACCAACACACACACACACACACACACACACAGACACACACAGGCTCCAGCCCGTGTGGCAGCAGAGAGTGAGGGGCTGCCAGTGACAGTTGGTGCCATCACTGGTGCTGGCTGTCTGCCACCAGGCTTTAAACCCCCCCACAGCAGGGAACAAGAAGAGCTGTTTATCTGACTTACTCCGAGACTGCCAGCATCGCCCTCCCCCCACCCGTTCCTTACCAATGATGGGCAATGCTCCACACAGCACTGCCATATCTGCCCTTCTAACTGCCCCCCACCAGCCTAACATCCACCACCAAGCTCCCATAAGCCCACCCACTGTTTCCCAATATATAGCTACTGTTCTTCCTGCACGTCTCCACCAATTCACCCCAACCATATGCCACCAAAAATCCCCCTCTGGTTAAATCCATAAACCCCATAAGGTTTGGTATTTAGCTCTTACTAAAGGTCCCATCAGTGTAAGATCTGACCCTTTTGCCAAACCCAAAGCAGAAAGGCAGAGGTGATAAATGCGACAAATGTCTTTATTCTTTAATTTTGCTTTTATATCTATTATGACTATTGGCTAAAGCTATAAAGACACATTTAGATATTGCGTATACGCTCCCATAAAGTAAAGTTAAATGTTCATTTTGAAATGTTTCTGTTTGATTTGTTTATCACTCAATTAAAAATGGAGATGTGTGATGGTGAAGAGGTTAGTCAGTTATAAGAAAAAAAGATTAATCATCAATCATTATGGTAATCCATTAGGCGGTAATTTATCAAGCACAAATGCCGTTTAAAAAATTAGTTTAAAGACCTCACACTGAACTCTCCGAACTTGTGATGGCATTTAGATTAAAACAAATGTATTTTAACAATAAGAATATGGAATAGGTTAATCAATATCAAAAATCATATTAAGCTTCACTAGAACAATGAAATTTCACCTTAACCACCTGAATAAATGGGAATTAAATAGGTACATATATTATATACGTTATATTACATTGTTATATCTTCCATGCTAGCATAAACGATATAACAATATACATAATATTCAATAAAATATCCCCAAAACAGAAACTTAGCTTTAGATGACTCAGCCTCCATCAGTCTGTCTTCCTTTGACAGTTGATTAGCATTTAGCCAGAAGTAGCACCTGTCTGAATATTTAACCCACAGAGAGAGAGAGTCATTCAGAGGCAGTCTGTCATACAGAAACAAACAGAACTAACTAATAGGTAAACGTACATCTGATATTACTATCAATTTCTGGCCATTTTGAGGGTGAAAAACCGTCCAAAATAATCTTCTTATATTTTATACTACAACATTGCTATGGCTAACGTGTTAGCAAACAGTCCAGCAGCAATACTCTCTGACCTTTTAGCTCTGGCTTGTCCTAAAGCAACCCATGAGGAGACAATGCTACATGTTTAACATTGTTCACCAGCTTATTGTCTGTCTGCATCCTGTGCTGGCAGGTAGCTCATGTGCATGGAGATTGTCGGCTGAAAGCGGAAAAAAACTGGGTTGATGAGGGAAGTGAGACTAAACCAAACAGCACATTTGCAGGCTGAGAAAACAAATCAATAAAGTGAAACAAGTTAAATAGGCTCCATGGAGCTATGCTACGTGACGATTCTCTCTTTCTGGCTGCTGTTGAATTTGCTAAATGTAATTTTCCACAAAGAAAATTCATTGTAACTCAAAAAATCTCAGAGACACATAATTCAAAACCAAGGAGAAGAAAAAAACTACGTGCATGGCTTGATACCACAGAGAGTAGGTGAAAACAAACATGTTTTATACCTTGGATGAAACAACCCTTTTTTTTTTAAGATTTTATTGTACAAAATGAAAATCAATCAATAGAGATTAGCTGTTTCCATTTAAATGTTGTCTTAAAATCCAATCCTTGTGCTAGAAAAAATAAGTGAACCAAGACACCAGCAGTTACAGTGACATAAGTGTACACACACACACACACACACCCGTCAGACTCTCTACCTGTCCTCACTCTCACACTGTTAAATCCTCATCATCATAGTAATCACTTTAACACAGCAATCACCATCATTGGCCCTGCATGTGTCAGGTTTGTCCAGATACAGTAAATCTAGTTCAGCTTGTCCTTGTTAACCTGCCATGCCTGACCCTGGGCCTGTGTGACAGCAGTCCCGGGGCTATCTCCCGTAGCGACCGTGCCATTCAGCCGTGAAGGCTTGGCCACAGACTGGTCCCGTTACCTTGGTGACAGTGAAGCGTGACCATCCACCATCCCCAACGTCACTTGGAAGCGTTGCCCTGGAGTGAATCTGAGCTGTGTTGTGATCTCACATCATCTCCTTCAGTAGAGATGGTGGGGACAATAGAGATATCTTTGTTTGATTCTTTTTACATTCAAGTCAGACATGGAGAGGACACAACACGCTTAGTTGAGGATGTGCTGCTGAGTGACTGAGAACACGGGTAAATCTAACAAAATAAGACTCAAAATGAAGTGAAAAAAGTGAATCACCAATGACTCATTTGTTCACAGATCAGTGGTAAACAAGGCTGTAGTGGTAAATACATTTACCTTCATTGATTGATCAGTTGATTAATATAGTTAATATAAACAAATTAAACACGTACCTGTGCACAGGTGAAATAGAATCTCGGGCATAGTTACAAATCGAAGCAATCTTACCAAAAAATAAGCATAAATTAAAATGGCACCTGAAACATTACCTCTGTTAATAGTAATTTAAAAAGACAGAAGCTAACCCACATTCATCTTGTCTCAAGAAAATACACACAAGGTTCACAGGATTCTCCCATGTACACTGGTTTTAGTTTTTCTCCAGATGCATGATGAAAAACAATTCCTGTAACCTCATTTGAGAACAAGGTGGAATGATTGTCTTGCAGTCTTTGAGAATTAGAAGATGATTGTATGTGAGAGGGAAGTGAGTGTCCTCCTAGCACAGAAATAATAAGTGTCTGTGGGAAAGTAAAATGTCTTTTGCATATATTAAACAAAACAGGTCACAAATATCAGACCAAAATAACTCTGTCTTGTGATCCAGAAAAGTGGACTTTACCTTCTGTGGAGAGAGGGAGTGGACTTTGAGACACCAACACAATTCAGGCCTACAGCCAGTCGGCATGATAATGATCAGCATCATTCATCAGGGGCACCGATGTGTCCAATCAGAGGCAGCGATGCTTGTGAGTGTCTGTCTCTGTTGACCTGTGTGTTTCTCTCCCTTCCCACCCCCACTCCAATGTGCAGACACAGGGTTGCTTAGCAACCCAATAGCAGCCTATGGAGAACACACTCAATCGTGCAGACGCACACGCACACACAGAGAGAAAACCCAGGAACTCTGAAAGAGGAAGATAATGTACTCCCACTCCACCCCTCCATCGTGCGCTGTGATCCCCAAAATGTGCAGAGAAACAATCAACCCCACTGGCTGGAGGAGATTCAACCCAGTGACTGCTTCACAGTGCCTTGGCTACACACACATGAACACATGCACGCACAAGTCCACTATATCCAAAACCTTACTTAATATTTTGATGGTGAGTGATTAGCAATGGATTTAAGCCGGCAGCCATGAAATCAGCATTTCTAACAGACAAAGAGCTTGAGAAGATGAAAGTTCAAAGCTCTGCAGCGTCTCCCCAGTCTAACACTATTAGCACATTAAGTGAGTGCTTAAATACAGTCAGCAGACGATGGATCAACTCGGTGCCCAGAGCACGAGACAGCACTGTAATCCCCTAAAGGGGGGTTTCACTACAGTAATGGCAACCCGTATGAAACTGCAACCCCTGGGGAGTGGTGGGACTGGGTAGATTATGAGCAGCCTTGGGGCGACGCTAAACCACTTATAGCCCCGACACACACACAGAAATAATCTGGTGTACACACGTAAATACAACCATAACACGCATGAAAACACACACATAAGCATGCCTGAAAGAAGATAAAGAATGTGTGTATTCACACACAAATATAAACTATATCCAGGATATATCATGATTTCTCACATACACATAGATTTCCTGCTGAGTGAGGGTAAATATTTCTTCTCCTTTTACATCTGTATGACATGTTTGGGGAGGTGGGTGCAGCAAATGGGGGTCAGGGGGATAATTTTACTCCTGGAGGATTATGGGATGGTGATGGAATGACTATTTTCGGCCGAGGGCAAAGAGATGGCAGGAGGTTGAGAGTGTGTTTTTTTTTCTGGCAAATTAAAGCAGTAGCCTCCGGGGCAAGAGAAATAAACTGAAACATGGTGACATAAAAGGTAAAGAGCACATTATAGCCTGATCCCTGCTGGAAAACAGAATGATAACACTGCGACCTGGTGATAAACACTGAACATGACATGGTTACCTGATAGGGATAGTTGTTATTACATGCAGTGAGAACAAACAGGGTCTAGTTTACACCAAAAAAGATCACTGGGGGGACGGACTGTGGAGCCATTAGTCTTGAGTCAAATTATTTGATCTGGTTTTACCCAGTGCCAGAGGGCAAAACACGGGTAAAAAATACTGTTTTGAGTGGGTGTAATGATAAAATATCTACTACTATATATACCCGTAGTGTATAGTCCTTCCAGCCTGGTCAACTGTTCATTTGTTGCCTCTCCCTCCCTGGGGCAAAGCTGCTTAGAGCAGAAAGGAGATTACACATAACCAAATATAAAAACAGAAAACACAGCCAAGCCTTTGCCAGCATAACTATGAATACACACACACACACACCTATTTTGAGACCCAAATCTGCGTATAGTGGGTTTCTATCTGCCCCGGCACTTTCACCTGCACATAAATACAGTACTTACACAGTAGATTCCCCTGGATGGTCTCTAAGAGCCTGAAGCTTTACATAGTAGGGATTCAATCCTCTCACATCAACAGTAGTTCACTCACACACACATTGCCCTGATCTGACCCATAAATCCATAAATATAACACTCAAAAAGCGAGACAGGCACCCATTCCTACTTATGTTTGCCCAGTATAGAGGTTGCCTTCTGGTTGTGCACTCTTAAAATATTTTTTAGAATTGTGAGCAAAAAACCCAGAGGGAGAGACAGACACAGGTGACCCTCGGGGGAGGGGAGGTCACTGGAGGGGGTCACTGAATGTAATCTTTCAATGAGCAAAGCAAGGACTCAGCAGCCTGGGGAATACATAAGCACAGCTTGGTCAAGCCTCGCTCAGCAGTCGAGACAGTGTGAAAGGCAGAGTGAGAGACAGGGACAAATGTCTCATCAACCTCCACACATCCCACAATGCTCAAGGCATTTTTATGTAGGTCTTTGTGTAAGCGACTGAGCACAGAAACCCCAGTCTTCGTTCTGTGTAAAAATATGTTCCAAAGCTAATGTGAGAGTCAAACTGAGTGGGTTATTTTTGAACTTCCAGTCTCATTAGTACAAAATTCCCCCTTTGTGATCCCACCATACAGACAGTGTTTACTTGCTGAGCTGCAGTGGAGGGACTGTAATACAAAAATGTAATTTAAAACTAAAAACACTGCAATTTTCGAAGATGCCCATTTGATTTGGCTCAGGCCAATCACTTAAATCCAAATCACATTAGGAAGAGATGTTTTCAGGACCAATGTGGAGGAAGGGGAAAAAATAGAGGGACGAATGACTCAACAAGAGGGTACGTGAATATTGCTTTATGAATTTAAACCTGTCCTTTAACAGGTCCCGTGTGCAACATTAAGGAGGATCTATAGACAGAAATTGAATATATGCATAGGTAAGTTTTCCTACCTGACTATAAGAATCATGTTTGTTACCTTAGAATGAAATGTTTTTATCTACAGAGGGAGCGGGTCCTCTTCCATGGAGGCTGCAGGAGAGACATTAGGTTTTGTGCCTGTGAACACAACAACCCAAGAACTCGCGCACACCTTTTGATTTTACCTTATAAGCACATGCTTACGGACCAGATGACGATGAGATGAGAGGGAGAGATGGCATGATGACACAAATGTATACATCAGGGGAAAAGATCTGAAAATATAGGGCACATGGTAAAACATGCTGAGAGCAACACTTTTATCAAAAATCTATTTGCAAGGCTGTCCAGAGCCATTTCTATAAATCTTTTGTTTGTTGGTACTGCCCCCTGCTGTCTGGCAAAGCGTGGTGCAACAATGTAAGATTGTACAGTACAATGCATTCACAAATAGTTTATACATGGAGTATATTATTTAATTTCACTGAACAGGATGGAAAATAAAAGCACAGCTCTTCTTTAACAACACGGTTATATACTTGTTGCATTTACACATTTTCAATTTACTACAGTCGAAATAAAAGTTTGAGATGAATGGGCAGTATAAGCACAATTGTGAAGGAAGAGAGGTGCTATCCTACCTCTGCATGCCACATGTCTAGTTCTTTGTAGTTCTTTTACTTCAAGTAATGAAAAGGTACTCAGATCTGATCGGTGACTGTTCACTGATATGGAGGGAAGAACATTGTTGGAAGATTGGGTAATAAAACAAATTCTTTACAACAATAGCCAATATTTCTTATTAATGGTTGATAATATCCAATAATTTACAATACAGTTAAATATAAAGCTTTTCCTTTTAGCGTGACCCATAATTCTGACAGTGAATCATATTTGAAAATAAAATTCCACTCCACTAAAATAAACTTCGACTATGTTCGTCATTAATAATAAAATCTGATGGTGGTTAATTTTATGGTTGCACGGCATCAAATCTGAAAAAACAAACATCAAACAAAAACGTTCAAACTGTTTCAAGGGTTCAGTAATTATGTCAGAACCAACAAGCAATCCTGAAACAACTTTAAGGGTTTAATTAAATTGCAGAACTGTTACTTTTAAATGGGATTAGGGCCCATTTCAGGCTCCTGCTGATCATCCATGTAGTACGGATCTCCTTGATGGACTCTGTGATTGTGTACCCTCAGGTTTCCCCTGTGAGCAAATCTCTTCCCGCACTCTGTGCAAGCAAAGGGCCTCTTCCCCATGTGAACGTCCCGTTGGTGGGCTCTCAAGTTCCCGCTGCGGGCAAAACGTTTACCACACTGAGCGCAGCCAAAAGGCCGCTCCCCCGTATGTGTGCGAGTGTGCACAGTAAGCTCAGAGGGTGTGAGGAAGCTCTTGTCACAAAACTGACAGGGATGCAGTCTGACTCCTGTGTGGCGTAAAAGGTGTCTGCGCTGGTGGGAGGGGTAGGTAAAACACTTGGTACAGTATGGGCAGGTGTAAGGCCGTCCGTTCCCTCCGCCAGGAGCTGCAGGGTGGCTGAGAGTGTTTGTGTGTCGAAGCGTAAGCGACTGTGAATTGGACTGCGGTCGGAGAGGGTCTCTGTTGCCAAATGTTGTGACCCGCCGTGTGTGGTTGATGGGGCCTCTCCCACCCCTGTCGTCTCGGGGCCTCCATGGTGATTCACCAGTGGGGGCTTGGGTTTGAAGCTGCCGAGCCGCCCTCTGCCCCAGGCTCTGGCTCTGCACTGAGTTCTGATTGGAGTTCTGGTTCTCAGGCTCCTGGTCCAGGAAAGGGAAAGAGCTATCGTCATCTTCATTGCTGGTTTCGTCAGAGCCAAAACCAGGTCGGAAGCAGGATGCGTCTGTGCCAGTGCTGCTGCTCGCTGGACCAGAGCAGCTGGTGCCATCTGCCTGCAGGTTCTCCAGACCGGACACCCCACCTCGGGCGGCGTCTAACCCTGGTAACCACTCCCCTGGTTGAGCTAGGCTCGGGTCAGGCCTGGGGGAGCAACGCCCACTCTGGGAGATGGATAGAAAAGGAGCAGAGGCTTGATCCTGGAGTGTTCTGTGGTCTGCACTGCGGCCGCCCTGATCCCAATGAGACACTGCCAAAAAGAAATTGGGGGAAAAGGACAATTGATGCACGTTCACCATTTTTAATAAAATATCTTCGAAAGAATTTCAAGGTCCTCTTACTTTAGCATTAAAAAGTTTTGATAGTCAATAGTGAGAGAAGAATGTAGTGACTTCTTACATTTGGCCTTGGCTTGTGTGACAGACAAAGTATCTATCTGCCTCTGGTCCACAGCAGAGAGGCCTCCCTCTGGGACTTGGACAGCGACAGACCCCAGTGTAGGCCGTGATCCAGCACGCTGAGGAGAAGCAAAAACAGATGTGTAAGAAGCAGAAAACACAAACAGCTAGGCGTTGAGCAAATGTCCCTTTGTGCTGGCTCAACAATCATAAAGGAGTAATTACTTCTGTTCATCAGACAACCACATCTGAATCATGAAGAGCAAGACAGGGTCTGACCTCATGTTTAACTGAAGCTCCATCCTGGCCAGTGACCTCCTCTTTCAGCCCGCCGAGGCTCTGATTGAGTCCTTCTACTGGGTCTGAATGAGACAATACATCCTTTCCCACATTCAGTCCTGTGCAAGAAAAGTGTAGGTGGTCAGTGTAACAGTAAAGCCCCTGGAGCTAGGTCAGTCATTAAAGTGTTACGGGAGAAAAAAAAGGTTCATCTTAATGAAAGATGCTGTTGTATCCCCATGCAAGGGATAAGCAGGCATATATTAAAAAAAAGATGGTTTGGTTTGTGATACAACCTAGGATACAAGATTATTTTAGCTAATGTATGTCCACTTCACCCTGCTGTCCTACAATAACCCGAGTTGTCCATTCACTCATTAACTCCTGACTTTTAATATTACCTGATCCTATCGGGGTCTGCTGCCTCAAGCCGCCTTCTCTTTCTCCTGATGACATCTCCCCTTCCTCGCTCCCTCCACCCTTCACCTTCTGCCTCCTCTCGACCTTCTCCAGCTTGCCACGGAGGATGGAGATCTCCTCTGTTTTCTGCACTAGCTCCGCCTGCTGTTCACACAGGCTGCCCTCGAAGATCTTGGCGATCTCGCACACGGCGGCTGCCAGCAGCGAGTCCATGACGGTGGCCAGCTGAGCGTGGAAAGCACTCCTCACAGACTCCATTGTCCTTTGTGTCAGTGGTGATGTTTCACCGTCACCGACTGATTGACACCGCTGTTTTCTCCTGTGGTTGGCCTCAAGAGGCAGCTGAGGGACGATGTGACTACCACTGTACGCTCCCCTGCTGTGGCACCTATGAACTGCCATGAGATGCTGCCATGCTAAGCAGCTACGCCATCCCCAGCAGTGTGTCGCAGCAAGTTGCTTTTATCTCCTTGTGGTTGAATGTCTCTTACGGTCAACCTGAGCTACGTTTTCGGCGAGTTTAACAGAAGCTACGGTGTCAAGGAAACCGGCTTTGTCTTGTTGTCTGGTAGTTATATACACAGAGTAATTAAATACAGAGCCAGTTTGAACAGTACGTGTGAGTTACATACATAGTCAACTTGTAGCTGTGAGAAAACAAACATTAAACAGGCGATGCTATCGGCGTTAGCTACTGAAACGTTATTGCTAGCTTACATTTACCTAACAGCTAATGTGATATAGCCATTCCTAGCACTGAAGCTAACTGTGTGAAGGCAGCGGAGACAACCACAGACGCAGCTCGACGGTGTCTCTCGACACTCGTTTGGTCGAATATCTTCACTGGCTTACATTAGATCCATGTCCACACTTCAGTCACAGTCTTAAAATGCGGCGACTCGTCATCCAGCTAGCAGGTTGGCTTCTGTGATGTGAACATTTTTGCAAATCTCGCGATAACACAGCGTTAAGGTTTCAGGTACTACAGATAAAAACAAAACAAAAAAATGAAATACATGTGTAATATTGTATAGACCTTCAGATTGATCTAAATTTTTTAACGAGGTGGTACATTGCTGTCTAATTAAAGAATATCATTTATATTACTTATTAAATATGCAAGGCATGGTATAAATGTGGATTTTATTGTGGAAATGTAAACAATGTCTCAATCTAGCAACAATACAATTGTCTAAATCTAGCAACACTATTGTAACAGTTATTTAAGAAAAAGAAAAAAAAGACAAAACAGTCAACTTTTGTTCTGGCTTGTTTCAGAACTCAAGCATCGGATGAAATGGTTTCACAGAATAGTTACAGTACAGTCAACATTGCAAAGCTGGGTCCAAAGGTCTGACTCCGCAGCCACACATCAGCAATCTGTGCTGATTGGAAATTATTTGATTGATGTGGTTTCCCAAATTCTGTTCAAACGTGTAGCCTTGATACGAGACAGCACAAGCTATTATAAGGCAAACAGAAGACAAATACGTACAGATAACTCAACATTTACTTTCACTAAATACAAGAGTGCTGGGATTTATGATATGTACTGCGAGGTGACAGATTCTTAACAAGTTTAAACTATTTTGTTGTATAGCTTCTACCGAGGTAGCTATTCTGTTCGTATATCAGACCAAAGCAGCCAATACTGTAGTAGAAGAGCAGGTCTTCTTTAAGGCAGTCTTGGATTTACATTACTTTTGCATCAATGTGATGAAGTACCCATAACATATTAGCCAAAAACACATGCTTCTTAACTGGATTTCCTGAAGAATTTAAATTATCACAATGTGCCAGTATTACAATATAAAATTATATGTACTGTGATAAATTTAATCTATTGCCCAACCTTTTGCAAATTGTTTTCATGTCATTAGTGAACAAATGTTCCAAGTTTTTTAACAAGAATGATAATGGTAGAACAAGAATACTTGGTGGAGGACTGAACCCCCACTGTACATAGAGACACTGTAGTTTTACCTCAGTGCTCTTACTTTAGATTGAAATGACACAAAAAGGGACATTAAACTACAAAACTCATTGTTTAAAGACTTGCAGGGTTCAGTCTGTGGTTTTCCTGTTCCACAGTGCTACATGCATTTGAATATTTTTTATAAAAAAAAGATGCATTTTTAATTTGGTATCAATATGATATCTTGCTGACTTGCTATTTGCAGAAACCAGACCAGATGTTTTATTACTGGTCTTGCAGTACTGTTTTAATATTTGACAAAGATGGAGAATACCGAGATGATTTGTATAATTATTAAATCTCAAAATAGAAAAAAAGCTTAACTTAAGCCACCAAAAAATGTTAAACGCAGTCCACCATCAATCAGTACGTGCATTGATTACAACATCCAGCGTTTCAATGTCCACAGACAGGTGATGCCAACTGCATAATGGTTTACTGATGCCGCTCCATGTGGTTCCTAAGGCGTCCTTCCATGAAGAAGCCTTTTCCGCAAACCTTGCAGAAATGAGACCAGTCCCTGTGATATTTTGACACATGTTTATCGTGCCTCATTTGTGTGGGAAATTTCTTCTCACACTTCTCACACTGGATCATAGGCTTACCACACTTTTTTTTATGCACTTTAAGCTGTCCGTAAGAACGAAACTTTGCAGGACAGCGGTCACATTTGAAAGGTTTCTCTCCTGTGTGGATGCGAAAGTGTTCAGTCAACAGGTATTTATGTTTCATGACCTTCTGACACAATAAACACATGTAGCCGTCAGAGCACCGCTTGCCCATTGTTTGCCATTTCTGACCCAGCTTTCTGTCTGGATTACGTTCTTTATGAACTTTGTTATGGTTGATTGCATGAGCTGGGTCTTTGCTGGAAGAAATCAAATCTTCTCGATTATCTTCAATCACCTCTAAAGGTTTGGTCCATGCAAGATCTCCATTGGTCTCACTGGAATTCACTTGGTCTTTGTGTATTCGCAAGATGTGCAGTTTGAGCGACTGGTTAATGCGGAATTTCTTTGGGCACATGCTGCAAGGAAATGGCTTTTCGCCAGTATGAACACGCATGTGATCCCCAAGCCTGCAACGTGAATGAAACTTCTTGTTACAGAGGTTACAGGGGAACTTTTTCACACATCCAGGTTTCTGAATAGATGATTCATTGTTGTTGCTAGAGGAAGGTGTGCTTTCCCTCTTGATGATGATCTTGATCTCTTTTTTGCTTAGGGCGGCTGGCTTTTCTTCCTCACAGGACTGAGGTTTTGGAGGGTCAGTGGACTCTGCTTTTTTTTCTAACAGTTTCTTAAGTTTTGCACAAAATGGTTTATGGCATCGAAGAACACTTGGAAAAGGAAACTCTTTTTTGCAGCCTCTGCACTTCTTGTGTGATCGTACATGCACGCTTCGGCCAAACTGTGTATCAAATACCTTATGACAGAACCTGCAGGAGTACCGTTTTTCACCACGGTTTTCCACCGTCTCTTGTTCTGTAGACTTCGACTCAGTTGTTTCGATTTTTCTTTCCTCTCTTTTGCTTTTCAGTGGGTTTTTTTGCACTTTCCCTGTTAAATTTCTCCCTCGTCTTTTAAGACCTGTAGGTTCGTTTGTTGGGTCAGTACATTCATGCTTGATGTCTTGGAGCAATATTTTCATGTCGTTTCTTACTGGTGGCCGTCGAGTCCCTTTGTCACACATTGGTGAACCTTTATTCTGAGTGTGTCTGTGGCTCTCCTTCAATGAGGACCCTGTCAAAGAAAAACATTGAAAAAAAAATTTAACTGTGCCCCAGTGAAAAAGGAGTGGTGACAGCCTATTACGTGACAAACTAATGTACTTGGAACGAGCACCAAGACCAGTGCTCGAAATTAAGGAATGTCCCGTTGTCTTAGGGACAATGAAAATAGCACCTGGTTCACAAAGTGTCTGAAACTATTCTGGGACGGTAGAAAAGTGTATTTATGCACCATTGAATGTATATTATTTTATTTGTTAGCTTTTCAAATTCAAAAAATGTGAGGGCACTCCTGCACAAGCTACATCAGACAAGCGCTTACACACACAAAGTCAGTCACGGAGAGAGACCAGTGTTACGACTTGATGACTTTGTTGCTAGATTTATTTACCTTTCAGACAGTCTTGATTTGTTCAGATTATCATGGAAAAGGCAAGAAATATATTTAAATATATTATGTTGTATTGAACTCTCAAGCATGCTGTTCAGAGTAATCGTAGTCCACAGCTCAGCACTGGGGTCTCTCCCTCTCCAGTGTTTCCCCTTAAAATTTCACCCAATCATTAATATCAGTAAGCTACTTTTGTTTTGTACTCATACACCATGCAAGGATGATAATAATCCTAATCCTGAATAATCAATAATGATTCTGAGGTTATTTTAACAGGGGTTTTCTTCCAATGTCAGACTAAGAACACAGATTTTTTCCATCTTTTGTACACAGATATAGTAATAGGCCTAATAATGCTCTAGAAATTGTCTATTTTGTTTTGAAAATCAAACTACTACTATATGTGCCGTGTGAAAGAGGGCCGATATATATACATATGACATTCTTTTACTACAAATATAAAATGTCTCTGTAGCAAGTTTGTTATTTGACTAAATAATAATAATGTTCCAAGTGTGTATGTAAGTTGGTGTATCAATCAGAAACTGCAGTTTGCAGTGATGCCTTTATTGATCAAACTTTTCTAAATAAACGAGAAACAGTAAGTCAATGAATGACTATGTGCAAATGAGTGAATGTAAACAGGGATGTGAGAAAGTATTTACAATCCTCATTCTGACAACAATACATGTAATTTACAGGACAAAATAATGAACGAAAGAATCAAATAAGAATGATACTCGCCTCTCTTGGATCTCCTGCCACCCCGTGTTGGCTGGTGGGAGTCAATGTCAGAATTCACCACCTAAAATACAGATGGTATTGGTTATGATTAACAATCCAAAGTAACGCGGCAGGTACATGCAGAGCTGTGTCTGCAAAAGACAGTTAACAGTTCTTGAAATGACAGGTTGCATACATGTATCAGCAAGTTAAAAAAATCTCTGTAGGACTTTTTAATGCCATAATCACTAAATGGAAGCAGTGGAGAAAGGGTATCTGATCCTGAGGCGGTGGTGTTGTTGTTCAGTGTTGTGACAAAAACAACAAGCGTTTTTAGCTTTTTTTCAAATGACATGAATTATTAGGTTGTCATCAGTCTGCTGGTTAGGTTTATGTTGCCAAATTGTAATGCCACCAAATTATATTTTTCCCCTTCAGTTACACACCTCCTGCTTGATGACTGGAACATGCCACAGAGGAATGTATAGTGAGCGCAGTCTTACACTGGGGCACACGTTGTCCTCTGGTTTGGTCACAGTCTCACAGCCGAGCGGAGCACACCAGTCATCAGGTACTGCACAAACCCATACACAAAGACACAGACATTATTACGCTGCATATATAAGCCACATGTTGTGATTCTTTCTACTGCAATGTTGTAGTTAGAAATTTAAGTGTAAACCGTTATAAAGGTTTCCTCTTTGCTACGCTCACTTGAACTTGTGACTGATACTGGTTACTGTACTCTGACCAATATTTAATTGGAAATTTTCTTGAACCTTCAGGATTATACATCCCCTTTTACAGCATATATGCATGTGCAAATATCAACCGGTTATTAACATATCGCCCAAACCTAATATTTACATCCATAATGACTTAGTGTTGTAAAGCAATAAAACATGCAGGCAGGTGAGTACTAAAATGTTCTTGAACACACTGTAAAGTCAGGTTACAAACAGAGTTTCTCTTTATACTGGTCACTCTCTAAAAATGCTTACTATAATATACTTACTATAAAATTATTTCACAATAAAGCAGCATGTTTTGCAGTTATTCACCTCATTTAAACACCATACCTTCAAAATCAATCTCAGGAACCTCAGAAGTTTGTCCAGAGGTGTTCAAGACATCTTCAGGCTCTTTTTGTGATTCACTCATCTGAGTTTTATTCATCTTGGCTCCTCTGTCACCTCCACCCTCCCTTCCTCTTTGCTTGGTCTCCGCTCTCTGTAACTTTATTTTAAGTTGAGTAATCTCTTCTCCTTTCTGCAACAGCTCAATTTGATGTTCATGTAGGCTGTTCTCAAAGATCTTCATTATTTCAAACAAAGACATCCTCAGGACTGAGTCCATGGCTGTCGTCAGCTGGGTCTGGAATTCTTTTATCAGACGGTCGGACATCTTTGAAGATTACAGATGTCTTTGATCAGAAAGACTTGTGTGATGCTGTTCTGGTCCTTTCACCTATTCCCTGTACGGAGAGATGAGAGATCAGGTTAGGGTCAGCTACAAAACAGCACCAACCTGCTAGTATTCTCCAAAGAGGTTCAACCTTAGAGTGTATGTTTGCTGAAACAGGACTATAGACCCCAGATAAACCTAAATGCCTCAAAACATTTAAGTATGCAGCACCAGAGTAGATGGTGGTATTGTTTTAAACATATGACTGTGGACCATATGATGACAATTTAAGGAGAAACCAGCAGGCGCACACAGTGGCCAATTCATCAGTCTCAACACATACCATTAGACTGGATATGGTAAGCAAGTCCATGTCAGCATTAGGGAGCTGCAGCTCAGGAATTTACATTAAAAAAATGTATACAGTTTGCACAAACAGGGGCAATCTTACCAGGCGATGCTGGTTCACTGGTTAGGAATGCAACCCAGATGATTAACCTATCCTTTTTCCTGTATCATTCATCTTTATTTACATTACCATTAGCTAACGACAGCTACGTTAATGACAACACAACAATACACCAGAAAATCGGTCCCTGCTTCGCACAGGGGGCTTTATTTTAAACATCTGAGGCGTTGTAGTGATTAACACAACAAACGTAATTTAGCTATGAGCTGAACGTTTAATATCTAGCGTTATGTACACATGGCGGGCAGCAATGTCTAGCAGTCTATCAAATACTGACCGTGTGGCACAAGAAGTCCCGTAGTTTGCTTAAGATGATCAACAATCAGCTACCTTCGTCTGGAACACTTTCACAGTAAACCGGCTCGTCCACATCTCACGTCTACATATTAAAATCAGCTTCGTTTGTTTCTTGTGAGCCAACGACCACACCAAAACGATGTGTGTCCGCCATTTTTACTCAACTTCCCCGGGAGGGAGAGCACAGGTTACGCCAATACTAACGTTACGTCATATTTCGCCGTACCAAAAGAAGATACAAACGTTACCCCGCATATATTTGTTGTATCGCTCAATATTTAAACCAAACACAAAATTTAATTAAAACGTGGTTGTTAAAATAGTTTTTGTTTTTCTTCACGCATGCGCTTCTTTTCCTACCCAGCCAGACGGTTACCACAGCAACCAAATGACACTTAGACGGGTCTGGGCTTAATGAAGCCGCGGCGGACACTTCCTGTCCAGCACAGTGATTTTATTGGTTCGTAGAGCACAGGGACTCTTGTGATTGGTTCGTAGAGCACAGGGACTCTTGTGATTGGTTCGTAGAGCACAGGAACTCTTCTGATTGGTTCGTAGAGCACAGGAACTCTTCTGATTGGTTCGTGAGTTACAGTTCTCTATTTTGCATTCTTTTGGGCCAGTTAGTTTTTTTTTTTGACATCTAGTGGCCATTTTCCAAACAACTGAAGCAACTTCCCTGCAGGTGTATTTCTAATGACTGCAGACAACAGTAACCAAGATGCAGCAAGCTGACCCCCTATGGTGCACGTACCATAGCATGAGAACTAGTGAACAGCGTTAGCCAGACTGAGCATCCAAACAGCTAAACCCTGCTGCACATTAGGGAGCTAATGTAACGTGACATAGTTTGCACCAAATAAACTATTGTGGTAACCTCTACTAAAGGAAGATTTGTGTTGTTTAACGTATTCTTTAAAAACAAACTCTTCAGTGCTGTCAATGAATTAATGGACTTTTGTCAAGATATTAGGGGTGCGGTGCCTTGCTCAAGGGCAGCTTGGCAGTACCCAGGAGGTAAACAGACACCTCTCCAGCTACCAGAGCTACAGCTGGTGTCTAAGGTGGACACACTAAGTGTGTTAACATGGACACAGAAATACAATTACATGGTATCATGTTATCTTTGTTGTTTAGGCCAAGATTACAAACTGATGTGTCCAGTGGCTTGTTGCCATTAACAGGTGCTGATTTACAGAATAGATTTACATCCCATGTTAAAATGTGTGATTTACTAACAAGTAAGTATTCACTCTGTATTCTTCAATTAAAGCACTTACATTGAAGGGTTATGGTCTTCCTGTAGCTTTAGTTAACACCTTATACATTCATGTCATTACTTCATACTCCTACACACTTTGATAGTTCCTACATCCTAAAACAAACAAAAGTGGGGAAGTGGAAAAGAGCAAGGATACTCAACTGGCCAATAAACATAGGTTCGTTGATGTGGCAGAATAAGAAGACTTCCAAGTCTCAATCTTCTCTTTTCTTGCACTAAAGCGAGCATGCTGGTGCCTGATTTTAGCATCTTCCATACAGCAATACAAATTAAACACAGTGGTTTAGGAATGGTATGATGTGGCAAAATAAAGGCAAATGTATTAATTGTTAACCTTTATAACATATATAATAGCTTGCCAGACACCAGCTGTTAAAGGCTGTACAATATAAAAATACAAACTGTAATACATAGGGAAAAAAGATATAAGGATAAATGTCTCTTTTATCAAAGGCCTACTCAGTGATATTTTTTATTTTTACTGTATTTGTGTAGTTCACTGATCAAAGTATTCTGGCCTCCCCTCAGAAAGAAATCAGCAATGCAAATAAATCTGAGTATTAAAATGAATATCTCCCACTATGTCAATGAACACCAGGCCAACAGTTGTTTCAGATCAGCACACACTGGGCTCATTATGGTCAAAGGTCGGTAGGCACTCAGTTAGGACAGACAGTTTCATGTAGGCTGTATTTGTATACCAGTAACTGACAGCTCTCTTTTACTCACACATCAATATGAATCTTCCCTTCAGTCGAGTGGTTCAATGCACCACTCACTGGGAATTTCCTTCAGTTTCAAACTGTGAAAAAAGTTGCAATATCTCTCCTAAACTAAAACTAAACTAAACTAAACTAAACTAACCACTAATTCTGAGGCCAAATGGAGGTTTTTCCATCTAAGGAGTTTTCCTGATTTCATTCCTTTATCATATATCTGCCAATCTAAACAGGCCTTTTAAATAGAAGACATTTTGACATGTGGAGTAAAAAAAGCATCGTTGTAAATAATAAAATGAATGATGGCTGAACTCCATTAAGCAGCTTCAGTTTCAGGGTCCTGGTATTGTGAATGCTGGCTCACTGTTACGGCTTACTGGGACACTTGAATGCGAAGCAGCAAGCAAGTTATTAGTAACATCTGTGTTTTTCCTGGTATGCCAATTCAAAATGTCCACAGTGAAAAAAGCCTTAGTTTTCTTTTTCTTCAAGCTAGACAATCAAGGAAAACAAAGACTAATTTGTGGTCTACAGGGTTTCCTTTATTGCATTTAAATTTAAAAGGATTAGTGCAAAGCTAAAGGGTCCAGCTAAGTGCTTTTAATAGTCATACAGTGGATTGACCAGTGGGTTACTAGGCGTCTTTGCTTATTCATTTTGGCGGTTTTAACTATGTTCGTACATGTAGGAAAATACTGGAATGATCTTCTATTTCAGTCTGTTGCACTCCCTCTCAGCCAAAGGTAGTGTTGTTCCAGGCCACGTTGGCTGCATCCATGTCTACAAAGTTAATATAAATCCTGAAATAGACACAAAGAGAAATAGGTTAATTAGATTGGACATTAACAGAGAGTAAGGTACAGGGATATCTTGAGTCTGTGTGATTCTGTCACCATGTAACCTTTACTTATCAAATGATGTGCAGTGCTGGTTGCTTTGTGTTTGCTACCTGTCCGGAGAGATGCCCAGGTGTTTGTTGAGCAGTCCACACAGGAGTTTAGAGTATTGCTTGTTGTGAGCACCGCTGATCTTGCCAATACTGTGGAGGGAGCAGAGTGCGCAGGGGTCTCCCTTTCCTCCAAACATCATCATTTGGTCGGGGTTTATGTGCACAGCAATGTACTGGTATATGCAAAACAGACACAAAACTGATGTCAGCCCAAACTGGGTGGAACCACTGTGGCTGGTGAGCCTAAATGTGACATCGTAGTTAAAGATTTTAGTGAGGATTTCTGAAACAGTGAAGTAATTAATCCAACTGCAACCTTACCAAGTAAAAAAGTGAAATATTCTAATTATTTTTTAAGTTTTATTTGTCATTATATTCAATAATTTGATTATTCAACTCACAGTATAGCTGCCCTAATTGCCTAAAATACTGGTTAATATTATTCTGGTGGAGAAACACATTACAAAAAAATAATCAAAAGATATTAAGTCTGCTTGTTAAAATCCCCAATTTCTCAGAAACAATACTCTCAGTGGTAGCTACCTGACTACAACTGAAACCCTTATTTTATAGTGTGCAGCCTAGTTCATTCTTATGTTGAATACCTATGTGCATACTAGTTAAACCTGAGCCTATCAATGTTATTAAGTGACACAACGCTCAATGACGCAAACTGTACATTTGTATGGCACAAATACGCAGCATCCGTTCGTATGAAATTACAGAAGATTTGCTTTTAAATGTGGGTTTACTGAACAGGACGCCGCTGATCAATCATCTACCCTTGCTAACGAAAGAATGGTGAGTTTCATGGTGAGAAACCATGTGCGCATAGATACTGCAGGAATAAGTTGCCCCTGGCCTACCTACCTGCACAGGTTTGCCCATAGCTTTCGCCAGCTCCTCAGTGGCCTCGGACAGCAGAGCCGCCGGCACATCGCTTTTGGCCACATTGGTGTTCACCACGAACATCGGCATGATTACTCCTTTTTTTTGCGCCTCCTTTCTTTACTCCCTTCACAAGCTGTAGATGCTGCGATTCTGCCAAAAGGCGGAAGAAAAGACGAAAAACAGACGTCTCTTCCTCTCTTGGAAAGCGTGCAACCATGTGTCAAAATGACCACAGCGCCTCCATCCACCCTGGAAGACACATTTATTGAGAACAAAACGCCAATGAAGTGTTTTTATGTTGTTATTTACTTATTCTCTTAGAATAATCACCACCACCACTGCTGAGATCACATTAAGTATAAAGTAATAATGTATAAAACACTGTATTTATGTTGTGTTTTTTTTTTTTCCCAGGGTGCGGCTGCTCTTGAGTGTAGGGTAATTACGGTACTGGGCATGCGCAGTGTCCTCAAGCATCATTAAGCAGTGCTGAAGGAGGCGAGAAGGAAAACAGAAGCAGGGAGAGAGAGGGCAGAAGTTGGATGGTGCTTTCCTTTGTCGCGGTGCCTCTCTGCTCGCAAGCTCATCCGCGATCCGTGAAATCACACCGTCTGCCGCCGTTTCACGTCCAACTTATTCCTCCGGGTTTCACCCGACAAACGGTGCGTATACAAAGCTAAATTAGCCAGGCTGCTAGCACGATCACTTTCCACCGTTACGGAGGGGTTGCTGCTCCTCTCCTACTTTAACATTATTGTGTGTCGATCAGTGATTATAAGTTATTAGAAGACGATAACCCGACGTGGGTTGCGTACTCGGTGTTAAACTCCAGGAGTGCTGCTGTACTCTGTGCGTAAAACCGGCGCTGTGGTCTTAAACGGTAACAGAGATGGAATAAGCATAATGTTACTGTGTGGATCCACTGTCACACTTAACTGTGGATAAAATATGTTGTAGATGTTAGCTGATTGAATGATAAAGTTAATTTCTGTAGCTGACATTGGCGATATGGATACGGTTGGATATATAAAGTGGCTATAGCTACGGGTTGGATTAGGAAACTTTTTGCCATCTAAATCTGAAAACTGTAATATATGTCACTCACAATCAATGACATGCTGGTTTTATAACATAGCACTGTTATTGAACCGTCATCAGGTCCGAAGCTGTCGCCACCACGATGATGGAGGAATCAGTGTCCACGTTTGAGACGCATCTGACGGCCGTCATGGACAGTCTGATCCGAGCCTCGGTCTGTGAGATCACCAAACTCTTCCAGGAGACGGTGAACGACTACCTGGTGGAGCTGTCCCTCAACAGGAGGGAGAACGAGGCTCTCAAACTGCGACTGAGGCTCACGGAGAACAAGCTGAGAACCGAGCGCAAGTACGGGATGGGCTGGGCTGCCAACCGCCGCAACGCCGGGCTGGCGGCGGCGGCGGCGGAAGGAGCTGGAGGTCGGCTGAAACGAAAAGTTGAGGTGGCCCGTGAGTATTTCTTATAGCTTGAGGGTGGCCTTAACTCCCCCCAAAAAACAAGGAGGCTT